GGTGTCCTTGCTGTCGCGCTGTATTTGTCAGGTCAAAGGTCGCTGACCTTTGACTTTCGCGTAACTTCCAGCGGTTACTTCAACCTCCGAGGGTTGACTCGCTGGTGCCTCGATATGCTTTGCTTCGCTTGTGTCTTGGTGTTTCGACACGACAGAGGCGCTTAAGACTGATTGTTTCCAACACAAACTTCAGGAATTCAGGGTAAAATTCCTGACATCTGAGGCCCTGTCAACCCTGATAAAATTAGCCCTGGTCTGGGGTGCGTGCCCTGTCTAGCAGTGAAGAGTCAATTCAGGTTGGCTGTGGTAATTGTTCCGTTCTGTGTTGGTTGTGTGCCTGCCTTGCATCTCCATAGGAAGCAAGCAATACAGTGCTAGAGAGCAAGAGCTTGTGAATATACTTCACAGCAAGCAACTTGTAGTAACAACAGAGACAAGCCGATCCAGCAGCAATCTAACATGACCTCTCCTTCATCCAGGCACCATCTGCACACTTCCCCATCACCACCTGGCACCGCCACTCTGTACCTCCATCTTCCCCTGCTATCTGCCCTACCCCACCCCCGAGCTGCCCCGTGCACGCATCTACCGGTAGCGGCGCAGCGAGAGCATGGTGTTGCGCTTCCAGAAGGCGCGCACGGAGGGGCGGTTCTTGGTGCTCTTGTGCCCCTTGCGCAGCAGCCCGCGGTGGTGGCGCCCGGCGGACGTGAGGCCGCGCAGCTCGCGGTGCTTCATGACGGGGCGGCACAGCCAGTTGATGTGCGCGTCGTTGCGGATGGCCTGGTGGTGCGGGTCCACCAGGATCACCTCGTAGTACTTGAACGCCGAGTCCTGGCGCCGTGCGGGGACGGGTGGGGGGAGAAAAAGCGGACAGTGGGGAAGGGAAGAAAAGGTTGGGGAAGTGGGGGATGTGCGTTGGGGGGGGGGGGGGGGGGGGGGGGGACGGGGCAGGGGGGGGGGAGGAGAAAGCGGGTGATAAAAGGGGGGAGAGGAGGGGATGGAGGGTGGGGTGAGGGTGGCGTGCGGTGGGCGTTGCATGGAAGACAGCTGCGGGCGTTTGTTTCACCTACACTCAGTTCGTGCGTGGGGTTGTTGTGAGGGGGAACAGAGGGTGTGCTTTAGTGTGTGGGCAGTGGTGGGCTCAAGGGCAAGCGAGCGCGGGCGCGGAGACACACACGCACACACACAAACACCATGGCCCACCCTCACTCCACCGCTTACACCTCCCCCCCACCCCACCCCACACACGCGCGCGCGCGCACAGCGCACCTGGTTGACCCAGTAGGAGTTGAGCACGCGCAGTCCCCCCAGGCGGCGGCCAGCGCGCTCCTCCGCGACGGCGCGCTTGTTGCGTTGGAACTTGAGCTGCGTCACTCCCTGGCTCTTCGGCTTGCCGTACCTGCCGCCGCCACGCGCGCACAATTACAACATGACGCGCGCACACCACAACGCGACGCGCGTACACCGCATCACGCGGCAGATGCGGTCGGACAGTGAACGCGCGACGGACGGAGTGGGGGAGAATGGAAACGGGGAAAGAGGGTGAAGCTGGGGAGGTGCAACGAGAGAGTAGTAGAGAAGCCAAGAGCGACCGCATGAGGAGAACATTTTCTAGGAAACAAGCGCGCGGCACGGAGGAGGCAGGAGGGGAGCGGGGGGAAGGGGCGAGAGGGCGAGGGGGCGGGGGGGCGAGGGGGCGAGGGGGTTCGAGAGCGTACACGATACCCTTGGCGACGGGCTTCTTGCGGCCGCCACGGCGCACGCGCACGCGGTACACCACGTAGCCCTGCGCGCGCCCACGCGTCACAACACGGGGGACAGCGGGGACAGCGGGGAGGCAGGGAGCGGGGAGAGCGGGGAGCGCGGGGAGAGGGGGACACGGGTTAGATGGCTGGTAAGATGGGCAAGAGAGGGTGGAGCAACGAAAACTGATCGGGAATGAGGGATCAGTGAAGGGCGACACGTGGCTGCACGATACGGAGTGTAAACCATGCAGCGATCCATCTAGGTCCATGCAGACCGTATTGCACCGCCCGTAGACTGTGCGCGACGCGACGATAACTAGCTAATTCTAACAGAATCAGGACGAGATGATCGTGCCGCTTGCCCCCAAAAGAATGGCACGCTGCTGCAAGCCGCATCGTCACGCAGGCCGGGTGCCCTCGAGGAATGCGCTGACATGTTGGATCAAATTGGGCGCCGTGCGAGCGGCGAATCTATGCCGCTTCGCGGATCACTGGCGCATGTGTCTAGAACCAGTTGAATCTCATGATTCGCATAAAGGGGCGCATAGCTGACACAGGCGAGAACGACTGGCGCTTCTGTGACGGCACGCGAGGCGAACGGGGAGCGCGCCTTGGGATCACGCGCGCGGGGAAGGCGAGGCGGAACATCAAAACGGCAGAGAGAGCAGCATGTCACGACACAAAGAGATCAGGCGGACGGAATGCCGCAGAACGAAGCTTCTCGGCTCCGGGCCACAGTTAAGCATCACGGCTCCGACGAAAGAGGTAAGGCGCCGAGTGGCAGCTGGGTTTAAGCGGCAATGGCAGGCGAGGCGACGGGCGCGCACCTGCTTGGCCTTGTATCCGAGGCGGCGAGCCTTGTCAGGGCGAGTGGGGCGCGAGACGCGGATGATGGAGGGCAGCTGGCGGTACTCCCAGCAGCGCACGCGCAGCAGAAAGCGCATGACGTCTGACTGCTTCTTCTTCCATAACTCCGACACGTACTTGTACGCTCCTGCCATGCACAACCGCACGCACGCACACAGCCCCGTGCACGCATGAGGCAGGACGATACTGTTGGCAAAACTAGGGTTTGCTGGTTCCGCAAAACTGTTAAGGGACGAATGGTGGAGTAGAACCTTCATTCGACGGCTAAAAAGGACCTTAGCAAAATTCCGACCCGTAAGGGAGAGAGATTACCCATGGTGGCCGGTCGTGCCGATACCTCCTAAGGATTTCTGCCTGACCAAAAGGAGAGTAGAAGATGCGATTAGGCGGGAAATAGAGGGTTTGGTGAGGGAGAGAGGGGGGAGAGGAAGAGGGGAGACAGAGAGAGACAGCTTATGAGCGATAAACCCTCTTCCAGCCTAGTCGAGGAGGTCAACGGACGGCCAGGATTACGTCGCTTTAGCGTTATCGTGTTTGGTTGAGGGCAGGCTGCTGGAGGGACAATCGCAGCCTAATACAATGTACAGTAAAAAACAATATTAATTAAATTATGGATGATAAAGATATGAAGCCTAGTGGTGGAAAACATATCCGACATTTAAATTGCCGAATGTATAACAGCTACATTTCAAGAATCAAGATATTCATCACAAAATGTACCTTTTAAAGAGGTGCATAATTAGTTAGAACTATACAATATTAAAATAATGTTGTTTTCGTTCAAAAACATAAGGACCTTATTACGAATATGATTATACGATTTTATATTAAACTGCACTATTCAAAGTGTAGTAATGGGGCTCGCTGTTGGAAATCCGAACACAATATAACGAATAATACATATCGGTATGCTGTTCGGTTTTATTATAGTTCCCTGTATAAGTCTCCACTCCAGGTCATATAATAATTGTCACAATTATTGTAGTGACGGGGTCTAGCATTGTTGGAGGGTATAATTATTGGTACGTTATTATTGATGTGAATGGGGTCATCCAGGAAGAGGTAGATGGATGCATAAATGCCCTGCTGTGCCACTTCTTCAGCATCATTCTACAATTCAACTATCAATCCTTTCAAATGCAAGCTTTCTAACGTGTCATTTCTACAAATACGTTTCCGCAACGTTGGCACTATGCCTTTCTAGAACTCGCTATATCAAAGGTGTTGACCCTGGTGGCGAGCTACATGGGTGCAACCGTGCACAGCGGTTGCGAATTTTGTGGCAGCTAAGGAGTCAATTCGACAGTGGGCAGGCTGTACTGTACGCGTACCGGTAACCGTCCTGCAGGGCGCGGCAGAATACCGCACCTTTGCCGAAGCTGAACAGTCACGCCAGCGCGACTGTAACATGGCAACTGAAGCGACGCAACGCAACCGTTATACAATTGCGTTGCGATAACCACATGTCTGATCTGTTTGCTATATAACTCAATGTAATGCCATGCTACTATTAAACAATTCTCATCCATATGTCTGGCCTATCATCGGCCATCGCTTTGGCACCACGTTACAAGCCAGAAGAGCTACCTCTTAGTGGCCATAGCCCTGCCGCAGGGACGTCGTATCTTTCTCAAGCTTCAGCTGCGCTCTAGCGATTTTCATCTCGTATCAGCCTTTCCTCCAATGCTCGCATTATCATACATTTTTGTCCATTTCTCAATGGAGCGCGACGACCCGCGACAGGGCGTGACGGGTGGATGATGTTAGACTGTATCTGTCATATATATTGTTTATACTATGTTTCACAGATTGAAATTTGAAACTGCCTGTAATGAGTACAACATTGTTGACCATGAACAATATATGCCCTTGAATTAGTAATTCTGCTGTCTTACAATCCAGTCAAAGAGAGGGGGTATTTTTTTTTTCCAGACCTTTTTTCCCACCCCAAAGATAACAAATTTTCGGATGTTGATGCACATCGCAGGCCGGCGTGACAACAAGCTCCAATAACTAACTTCTCCATTGCTTTCTTTCGAGGCAATCTTTACGAGCAGATCTGGCTGCGCGGCCCTCGTGGTTTCACTAGGTGTCCCCCTTTGGCACCTAGTGCAACCTTCGACAGCCTGACTAAAATATGCGTCAGGCTCCACGTTACAAACTTCGCTCGCTCCTCTTGGTTTCTCTCTGTCCTCTTCTGGCCCTTCTCTCTTTGTCCCCTGTGGCTCGTCGCCGTTCAACGTTCTTCCCTATGTCGACGCCCTCGTCTTTGCTACTCACTGGCCTTAGTGAAGGCGTTACTGCAGAGGAGTCACATATCCACTCACATGGGTGAGCTGCATTGCTATCTCGGCTTGCAGATCACTCGGGACAGAGAAGCACACACCATCACACTGACTTAGTCACACATGGTGGAGCAGATTCTCGAACGGTTCGACTTTCAATCCTCTTCTCCACATGCTACATCTCTTACTGTCGACCATGGGCCCACGGCTCGTATTCCCAACGAGCCTGCTGAGCCTAATGGTCAGTACGCAGAGTTGGTGGGGTGCCTCTTGTACCAGATGCCTTGCACTCGTCTAGATCTTGCATACCCTCTCAGAATCCTTGCTCGCTTTGTGGCGACTGGAAGACACCGACCCCGCTCACCAGTCGGCCGCTAAGAGGGTTATGCGCTATCTGGTAAGCACGTCAGGCATGTGGCCTGTGCTTGGGGGGGAAAAAACCAGTTAGCCTCACCAAGCTCAATGGCACGTCGTGGGGCGAACGACGACGAGAGTTGGAGGTCTTCACAGCGCTATTGTTTTAGCCTTGCTCTTCTCGAGTTGTCTCGTTGAAGTCGACTGTTGTCAGCTGCCGTGTCCAACTGTGAGGCAGATATCTCGGTGCTATGGCTATTTAGGAGCTCTGCTGGCTCACCTTTCTGCTCACTGACTTTGGTGAGCCGCCCTCGCTCTACATTGGTCATATTCGCCGACAGCATGGCCACGATACTCCTGTGTCAGGAGCCTCGACTAGTAGGGAGGGCGAAGCACGTTCAGTTGCGGTGCTTCCTAAAGCAAGAGTTGCAGCAACACAGCCAAACACGCGTGGTACCAGTGGTCTCAGTGGTCAACACTGCTGATATCTTCACCAAGGTACTTCAGCCTCGTGATCATCAGCGGTTCCGCACAGAGCTTGTTGTATAGTTCCCGCCTTTACCTAGCCCAATAGGTGTGTCAAATTATACTCGAAATATATTATGTTGTCCTAGGTTGCTCAGAGTGAAGTAATCTAGAGTGAATACAATATTGCTGATATGAACAATGTATGCCCTTGTGTTAATCATTCTGTTGTCTTACACTTCTGACAAGTCGACGGGGCTATCGAGGAGGGGCCGCGACGAGGCCGCAACAGGTTGTGCAATGGGTAGGGCGCGCACGACGGAGCTGCTATCACAAGACGGTGTGCGCGCCATTGGAGGACCGGGGGGGAGGAGGGGGAAGGGAGGGGGGGGGGGGATGAGCCAATGCTCTGAATACCATGTCGAAGTAATAACCAGGAAGGTTGAAGGATAGGAGATTGAGAAGAGAAAAGAGGGCAATATAGGGTAGAAGGTAAAAAAAAAAAGTAAAGCAAGGGGAGGGCGAAGTGGTAAACCACCAACAGTTTGAATGTGCACTGATTATGTTGAAGGATTTTTTATATAAAGATGTACGTAAACTTTGACAAGAGGATGTTCCTCCTGTAAGGCAACACATGCTGCCTGCGATGTTGAGGGGTTGAGCCAGTGGATCACTGTCTTTTCAGTTGCCCACGCATCCAACCAGTGGTCATATGTTTTTACGAGCCTTACGGCTGCTCAACCGAGGCAGGAGGATTGGGTCTCTGGGCGAACTCCTCTTCATAAAAAGGATTGGGCACATGTTTCCCAGACACGACTCTTACGACCATAACGCCTCACAACATCTCGGTGAAAATGCGTAACATTTCAATCGAAGCAACTTTTAGAGGATGAAGGTTCTACGGAGATTGTAGTTTTCTTCTTGCATTCACATCCGGGCGGACTTGTAGGCCAAGACTGAAAAGCGAAGGGTGTATACCAGAGGGGCGTACCGTAATGTATCAGGGCCTGGACGACATGGACGAGGAAGTACAATGCATCTGATTTTTTCAGCAAAGCCTTGTACGTGGTCACTGCATTTCTCCTCCATTCGGCCAACCCGAGGAGTGTTTCACAGTCTTCCCTAGAAGGCCAGATGGGTATGTTGTTGTGCCTTCAAGCCTAAGCAGTTTAGATAAAGTCAGAAGTGTACATTCCCTAAAGGCGGTGCATTTTTTCCCCCCCGACCGTCCGGACGGTTGTGTAGTTATCGAAGTCGTTAAAGCTCGCCAACCAATTCGTCAGGAACTAAGCGACGTCCCATGCGTCGTATTGCATCCATACGTCGTCGCTTGCGTCGCGTAACGACTGTGCGATGTCGCACGATTCCGGACGTACGTCCGGACTTTCAGAGATTTTGGAAAAAGGACACCCCCTTAGCAATCAGGGTTGTGCAATGGGAGAGAAGACTGGGGTTGGTTGGTGTATGTTTTTTTGCGGTTTTGGTCCCATCCAATCTAACCACTTGCGAGGGAAGTAGGGAAATTCGTTACAGTTCAATAGGATTCGATCGTATCACTACTCCGGCAGCTTTTTAGCCGCGATCATAATCATTGGCACGTGTAACAGAGGTTTCAATTGAGGGGGAAAAACCAAAGGCATTGCCACATTGGCGTGCCAGGGTGGCACGGAAAAACAACTCTCCTCCACTCGTAATCGTGGACATGCAGCATGGACGGGTTACCCGGCATAGGCACCTCGAATTCCTTCCGCAGGCAGGCACTGAATTCCTCACCTCGTTCCGCAAATTCCGTGTTGATTGCGTTGCGAGTGCGATGATCCCTGGGTCAGCACTGAACTGTGCACAAACATGGACAATGCGAAACAGCACAATGAGGAAGTTTCAAAACCGATGCGAATCACCAGCATCACGCCTCTATCCTTCCCATGCTAGCTGCCATGCACAGTGCACACACGTATTCCAGCAGCCTTGGAATTTTCTGGTGGTCCTGTTTTCCTTACGGGACGTGGATGGCTTGGCTTTCCACTCTTCACCTCACACTTCTAGTTTGGGTTTGCCCGTTAGCCTGCTCCGACCTGGGCCCTGCGGAATCTTGTCCAAGCACAGGGAAGTTCGAGAAATTCCTCCCCCGAGATCACCAGGCACAGTGAGCTCGCCAGCGCGACTTCGTGAATGGAGCTGGTTGTTCGCACTTCATCTCTCCTCCACCAGTTCCAGCTCCTGCCTCCGTTTCAAACCCTAGATTTCGTGGCTTCACTAACCGTCGCTCAACTCAGCATCTCACCTCCGCGCATGGTTCGTTTGCAATGGCGGACGTCGCCACGTGTGCAGCTCCGCCGATAGACCACACGCATTTGCACCAGCACGCGCAGCTCTCGCAGCACCATTCCCCCCAGCAGCAGGGAGCAGTCGCGGAATCGCGCGGAGGCCACTTGACCCGCCGACTGCTAAGCCTCGCCTTGCCGCTCCGCGCTTCTGCCAAGCGCACCATGCCGCCCGGCGATTCGCCCAGGCGTCGCTGGGTGGTGGAAGTGCCTCTGTCCACCGCTCTCAACGCCACCGACCGCGAGTCGACGGCGGCACTGGGTCGATGCGTTGAGGACGCGTGGACTGTGGTGCAGCGCGCCGTTGCTGACGTGGCTCGGCAACAAGCCACGTCGCAGGTGGTACTGGTGCTGGTGGCGGTGGTGCCATCGTCGGCCGCGAGAATTCCCGGCGAAGGGGATAGGGGGGAGGAGGGGAAGCAAGGCGGCGAGCGCGAGGGGGAGGAAGGATTTGAGGCGTGGGTGGTGCAGCGCGTGCTCCGACCGCTGGTGCAGCGAGCGACACGAGCCAAGGTGCGTCACGCGGGTCAAGGTGTGTCAGGCGGGTCAAGGTGCGTCACGCGGGTCAAGGTGCGTCACGCGGGTCAAGGTGCGTCACGCGGGTCAAGGTGGCGTCACGCGGGTCAAGGTGCGTCACGCGGGTCAAGGTGCGTCACGCGGGTCAAGGTGCGTCACGCGGGTCAAGGTGCGTCACGCGGGTCAAGGTGAATCCTGCCAGGAAAACCTCCCCGCTGCTCGCATTTTCTGTCACGTTCGTCTCATTTCCCGTCCCCGCGCCAACGGGCGTCACATTCTGATGCTCTCCTTCCTTCCCCCCACGCCTCCTCTACCCCTCCCGCTTACGCTCTCCCTCTTCCCGGCCCCTGTGCCCCGCCACCCACGTTATCTCGCAGGTGCTGGCCGCCTTCCACGTGGAAAGGGCAGCGTCGCAGGGCGGAGCTAGCAGTTCACGTTTGCCACATCAGCAGCAGCGTGTGCACGGCGTGTGTGCTGCTGCGCGCCACTTCGACGCCGAGCGCGTGTACCTGCCATCCAACCTCTTCACCGCATCCAACTCCGTGGACTCCGCCGCTGAATCTTCCGCCGAATCCGCCGCTTGCCAAGCTTCACAGGCAGCAGAATCGCCCCGCGCAGCCCTCGCGCCTCCCCCGTCGCCTGCGCTGATCCGCGCGCTGCTGCCCCCCCCAGTGCGCGCTCATCATGACCGCCTCCGCGCGCCATCAGCCCGACGGGGCGAGGAATAAGCGGGGGGGCGGTCGGTGAGGTGGGGCGGGGGGGAGCAGGCCTCCGCGACGGCAGTGGCGGGCGCGAAGGGTTAACGGCGGTGGCAGGCGCCAGTGACTTCCACGGCGACCTGTTCCCGTCGCTCTCTCACACCACGACAGCTGGTGACGGCGGTGCTTGCTGGTAGTGTTGTTGGTGTTAGTTTTGGTGGTGTTGCTAGTAGTGACGGTCGTGGTGGTGGTGGTGGTGGTGGTGGTGGTGGCGCTGCTGCTGCTGGCTCTGCACGTGGCGCTTTGGGCGAGGAGGGAGGACGGCGCGGGTGGGCTCGGAGTGGAAGTGTCCCCGCTGCTATCGCACGGCCGCGCCCGCAGCAGCCGACCGCACAGGGGCCGACGATGCGGCAAGGCCAGGGGCAGGCGCAACGGATGGGGAGAGAAGCAGGCGGAAGCGGCGCAGGATCAGCGGGGGAGATTGCTTCCGCTGAGCGGATGCGTAGGGCGCAGGAGGAGCGCGGTGCGGTAATGAGAGGCGACGGCGGTGACAGGGTGGGGCTGGGGGAAGGCGATGGAAGGGTGGCGGGGGGGAACGGCGGAAGTGCGCAGTGGCGCTTACAGAACTCCGCCATGCCGCTGCAGCGCCGCGCGGGGGGAGGGGCGCACGACGGCAGCGGCGCGACTCGTAGTGCTGAGCGGGAACAGCCTGTGCCAGGACCCACGTTAGCGGATAGGCAGTCGGGGGCAGGGAACTCAAGGAGTGGGCCACTGCCGGCTGTGCCGCCAGCAGAGCGCGGTGCTGCTGGCGGTGCGGGGCAGGGGCGGAGAGGAGGGGAGGGCGCGGGATGGATTCGCGGGGGCACGGGTGGCGAGCAGGATAGAGAGGGCGGAGTAGTGAGACAGGCAGGCGGCGCTGGGCAGTCGGCAGGGGGCGCGCGGTCGGGGCCAATGCAGCTGCTGGGTGCCGCCACGCAAGGGTGGTCGCAACCTGGGAAGCAGCAGCTGCAGCCGCAGCAAGGGTGCAGCAGCGGCAGGGTAAGGGGGAGCGTGAGCGGTGGCAGGGTGTGTTAGCGGGAGTGGGCGGCGGAGAGGCATGGGTGGAGGCAGCGGAGGTGGATTCGCAGCTGACGCAGTGGCTGCTGGGGAAGGCGGCGCCCGCGCCCCCTGTCCCCGTCCCCGTCCGTCCCTCCGCGCTCGCCTCACTCTCTCAGCGCAGGCCACGGCATGCCGTCGCCCCTCTCCTCCCCGTCCCCCGCCTACCCCGCCTTCGTACCCGCCAGCCACACCATGCCGATAGGGCCGTCGCCCCCAGGCCACGCCATCCCCCCCTCCGTCTCCGCTCCCCCGGGTGCCCCCATGCCGGCTCCATGCGCGGCCACCGCGCCCGCCACCCCTCCGCACGCCGCACAGCGCGTAACAGGGTCAGGCAGTGGCAGTATCAGCGGCAGGTATGGTGAAGAGAATATGCCTGTCAATCCTGCAGCAGCAGCCGCAGCAGGTGCTAGTGCAGGCGTGACAGCATACCACTCCCCCGCCACCACTCCTCCTTCTCTTTCTCCTTCCCCGTCGACCCTCACGGCCCCCCGATCCCCCTGGTCTCTCCCGCGCGCTCCCCGCCTCCCCGCCGCCACGCCGCTCCCCGCCGCGCCTCCGCCGGTGGTGAAGGAGCGCGCCAAGGGCGGGTTGTTCCAGCGCCGCCACCTCAAGCGCGGCGGCAGCGAGGGCTGCCGCAGCGTTCTCGACGCCGTCGCTGTAGCCTCCTCCGCCCGCTCCCCCGCCGTTCCCCCTTCCGCGCATTCCTCCTCCGTGCTCCCCATCTCCCCCATTTCGCCTCACACATTCTCCGCCTCACTCTCCGCCGCCGTCTCCCCCATCCGCGCATCGCTCTCCCCGGATCCCTCCACCTCCGCGGGCGCGGCACCTGGCGCGCTCATATGGGGCGGGGAAGTGTTTCCGCATGGGGCGTGGAGCGGAGGTGGCGCGGCAGGAGTGACAGGGGAAGGGGTGAGCGAGGAGCGCGAGAAAGGGGAGCGGGAGATGGCAGGGCGGCAGCTGGTGGTGCAGGTGCGGGAGGTGGAAAAGGGGGAGGGTGGGCGCAAGGGGCCAGTGGCGGGCGGAAGGGGGAGGTCGGGGAGGAGGGCAAGGGGAGGAAAGAGGCGCCTTGCCCGAGCGAGGGGGAGGGCGAGAAAGCACGAGAGGTGGTGGCGGCGGCGGCGGCGCGGCGGTGGTTGATGGATGAATTGGCGGCGCTGGGCGTGGACAGCGGGGAGGAGAGCGGGGCGGGGGAGGGGGAGGAGGAGGGGGAAGGGGAGGGCGCAAGGGAGAAGGGCGCGCGGGAGCGGGGCGTGCGAAGTGAGCGGGCTGGAGAGACGCGTGGTGAGCCGACGGTCGCCCACCAGAGAGCAGTGGGCGGACGAGGTGAGTCCCTGCTGCTGCTGCTGCTGCTGCGCCTCCCCTCCCTCCCGGCTCCCTTTCCCCTTCCCCTCCCCCCTTTTGCTGGCGTCTCCACTCTGTGCGCCGCACTCTCGCCCCCACGTGCACACCCTTGCTCCTCAGCCATGTCTGTACCTCCAGTCCCCTTCCCCCGCCCCCACGGACCTCATCTCCCCCATGTCTCCCTCTCCTTCCCCTCTCCCCTCCTTGCCTTTCCCCCCACTTTCCTCTCCCCTCACTTTCCCCCCGTCCCCTCCTCTCCCCCGTCCGTGCCGTTACAGCGTAATCCCAGCCGTCTATCGCGCTCCTCGCTCTCCCTGCCGCGCCACTCCGTGCCACTGCCCGCCCAAGTGAACCCCCCAGCACCCGCGCCTGCCGCCAGCTCCTTCTCGGGTCCGCTTCGCCTGGGCGCCGCCAATACCGCGGGCAGCGCGGGCGCCGCCAGCAGCGCGGGGCAGACGGGCGGCGGGCGCAGGGGAGCGACAGGGCGAAGGGGGAGCGGGAAGGGAGGGGAGTGAGAGGCAGCGAGCGTGGGAGGGGGCAGCAGGGGGGGCGGGCGAGGAGAGCGGGGAGGGATGGGGGATTGGAGAGCAGCAGGTGAACGCGCATACTGGCGGCAGTGGTGGCGTTGATGGTGCCAGCGGGGATGGTGGCGGGGGTGCGTCCACCACGTTGCTTGAGCGCCCGCCCTCCCCCGCTCCCTGGGTATGTTTCGTCCATGCGCGCCCGCTGTGATGCGCGCCCGCTGTGACTGCCCGTGCGCGCCTGCTGTGACTGCCCATGCGCGCCTGCTGTGACTGCCCATGCGCGCCCGCTGTGACTGCCCCGCACGCCACACCATGCGTTCTGCAATCCCCTCGAAGTTACATCTTCCTCTGCATCTCACATCCGTCTCACCCTCCCCTCCCCATCATTCTCCCCGTGCTGCGCCTGCCAGGTCCCTCGCCCCGGCCAATCGTCCGCGCGCCTCGCGCGCACCAGCAGCTCCATCTCCTCTGCTGCGCGCCCGCCCTGCGCTGCTGCCCCGGGGGGGCGACCTGGGGGGAGCGTGGGCGGGAGCGCAGGCGGAAACACAGGCGGAAACCCAGGCGGGAGCATGGGGGGGGGCATGGGGACAAACATGGGGGGAGCATGAGCGGCAGTTGGATCAATCCGAACATGCGCGCAGGCACAGCGGCGGCGGGGGGGAGGGGGGTAGCAGGGGCGGGGAGGCAGGGACAACCGGGCATGGGGGGAGTGCGGCGGCCAGCAACAGGAGCAGGCAGCGTAGGCAGTACGGGCATGAGGGGCAGCATAGGCGGGAGGAGTGCGAGCATGGAGGTGGCGCGTGCGCGGCTGCTGGCAGAAGACGCGGTGCTCACAGACGCCATCCTCACGGGCGCCCTCATGCCGCCCCCCGCCTCCTCCTCCTCCTCCGCCTCCCTGCGCTTCCCCCAGCGCGCGCAGCAAGGCAGCACTGCCAGTGCTAGCAGCAACGGCGGTGGTATGGTGGGTAGCAGCGTGGGCGGCAGTCACAGCATCAGCGTGGTGATTGGGCGGCGCAGCGTTGACGGCAGCAGCAGCGGCGTGGTTCTGCAGAGGACAGGGCAGTGCGGCGCTCAAACGACAGGGTAGCATGCGGCAGGGTGGTATGGGGCAGAGCGGCGGGCAGGGCGGCATGGGGCAGGGCGGCATGGGGCAGAGCGGCGGGCAGGGCGGCATGGTTCAGGGCGGCATGGGTCAGGGCGGCAAAGGGTTGAGCAGGCAGAGCAGCAATGCCTCCCACAGGCTCAGCAGCAGCAGCAGCACGGGCATGCGAGCCGCAAGCAGCACACGCAACACCACTCCCACCACCCCCACCACTCCCACCACCCCCACCCGCGCCACTGCACCCACCACCCCCACAACCCCCACGGCTACCAGCATTGCATCAGCAGCAGGCAGCCCCCTCCACAGCACCGCCACCACCCCCACGGGCGGCAGCGGCAGAAGCAGCGGCAGCGGCAGCGGCAGGAGCCCGGCGCGGCTGCCAGCAGGGCAGCGGTCGCGCGTGTTCACCCCCGCAGACCTCGCCCGCGCCACCGACAACTTCCACTCGTCCCGCCTGGTGGGGTCGGGTGCGTATGGCCCCGTGTTCCGCGGGGCCATCCACGGCTGTGACGTGGCCGTCAAGCGCCTAAGGGCGCGCGAGGGGCTGCTGCGCGCAGCGAGGGCCGAGAGGCGTTCAAGCGCGAGGTGCAGGTGCTGAGCCGCGTGCGGCACCCCAACGTGGTGCTGCTCATGGGGTGCTGTCCGCAGGACCTCTCGCTTGTCTATGAGTTCATGGCGGGGGGGAGCCTGCAGCACCGCCTGGCAGCGCAGCACAAGCGGGGCGCGCAGGAGCAGGAGAAGGCAGGGAGCAGCGGCGGCAAGTCGCCGTCCTTCTCCTCTTCCTCCTCCTCCGGCCAGCTCTCCTCCCTTTCCCCCATGTCCCCTTCCCCCCCCCGCCTCCCCCATCGCCTCGTCGCCATCCCCCCTGCCTTGGCACGACCGGCTGCGGATTCTCTCCGAGGTGGCCTCGGCGCTGCTGTACCTGCACCGCTGCTCGCCGCCCATCGTGCACCGCGACTTAAAGCCCGACAACATCCTTCTCGACGCGCACGGCACCAGCAAGATCGCGGACGTGGGGCTCGCATGCCTGTTACGGGACGGCAGCACGGTGGTAACCACACACCGCATGCGTGGCACCGTGGGATTCATCGACCCGGAGGCCATTGCATGTGGCGAGCTCTCCCCCGCCTCCGATGTGTATGCGCTGGGGGTGGTGGCGCTCATGCTGCTCACCGGTGCCGACTCCCCCAAGCACGTGCACCGCCTGCTCGCCCTCTGCCCCACCACCATCTCCTCCCCACCACCCCCCTCCCCCACCACCCCTCACGCCACCGCTGGCACCGACGCCGACTGCGACCCGCCTCTGACGCCCAGGAGCGCCCTGCCGGCTGTGCCCACACGCGACCTTCCCCAGTCAGTGGCCATCCTGCTGCCGCACCTTGACACGCTGGCGGGCGCGTGGCCTGCTGACGTGGCGCAGCGGGTGCTGCGGGTGGCAGTGCGGTGTGTGGAGCGGGATGCGCGCATGCGGGCGGACCTGGCGGGGGAGGTGGTGCCCGCGTTCAGCGAGGCGGCCGCTGCTGGCCGGGCCGATGTAACTCGGCGCAGTGATGCCCTCGAAAGCACTCTTGTTTGCCCGCTGTCCAAGGTACTGCTGCGGTACTGTCGGGTGCTGTCTGGGTGCTGTTTCAAGTACCACAGGCTCGTTGCCTTCTCACTCTCCTGTCTTTCTCTCATCACTTCACCTCTCTCCTCAATTACCGTCTGACTCACTCGCTTCCCCTGTCCTCTTCCTCCCTCCCTCCCTCCCCACCCTTGCGTGCAGCAACGCATGGAGGACCCAGTGATAGCAGCGGACGGGTTCACATACGAGCGGCGCCACATGGAGGCGTGGCTGGCGTCGTCGCTCCTCTCGCCCTCCACCGGCCAGCCCCTCCCCCACCCGGGGCTCACCCCCAATCACCTCCTGCGCTCCATCATCCTCGGCTCCCAGGGCAACCAGGCCTCCCGCAACTGAGGCATGTCCCAGACAGGTATCTCCCAGGGGAGGTAGCATCCAGGGCAGTCAGGCCAACCAACCACCTCCTGTGCTCCATCGTCCTCGGCTCGCAGGGCTCCCAAAGCAGCCAGGCCACCCGCAACTGAGGCATCATACAGGGCAGGTAGCGTGCTGGGCAGCAGCTGCTGAGGCGCCATAGAGGGGAGGAAGGGGTGTGCATGGCGCCCGGAAGGTTGAGGCATGGTGGAGGAGAGGAAGAGGTGATGTCCTATGCAGAGCAGCACGCATGGGGTGTTGGATGTGGTGCGGGGTTGCAGTGGAGGGATGGACAAAGTGGAGGGAGTGGAGCGGAGGGGTGGAGGAGTGCAGATGGGTGAAATGGCGGCGTTTGTTTTTAGCACCTGCACACTGATTTGCACTGCAATGGATTGTATACGTGTTTTGATGGCAAAAGCTTAGTTTGCCAGCATAGCATAAGGTATTAGAAACATATGACTTGTATTTATTCTGGATTTCTACAATATAGTAGTGAGAATACTTCCACTATTGATGCAACATCTTCCCACCTTTTACAGTTTTAGTACAGATTTACAGTTTTGTACAGCACTAGCATGCATGCACTCACTCTACTTCCCGCTCTGCCCCTGCCACGTCTCGCGTCGCACCTCCCCCGTTTTCCGTCCGCTCCCCTTCCCGTAGACTCCCTTTGCCGCGGCCCCCTTTCCCACTCCCGCGGTTCGCTTTTCCGCACCGTCTTTCCTCCTCTCGCTCCTCGTCTCTCCTCCCAAATTTGCGCGCATCCCAATCGCGCGCGTTCCGCCTTCCGCGAGTCATCGCTCCCAGCGCGCGCTTGCGCCTTCCCGAGCGATGAGAGCCCCCTCGCAGCCCGCCGTGCCGCTTGCCAACTTGGCCGCCGGCGGCGGACCGCGGCGGGGGGAACGGCGTCGGGAGGGCGCGAGGGGCAGCAAGGGGAACGCCTCCGCGGATTGGAGCGAGATTGTAGAGGCGGGGGAGGGGCGCGCCGTCGGGGGGAATTCGCGCAGCAGAGGCGCACGATGTATGATCGGGGGAGGGGAGTGGTGCGGGAAAAGTGGGGCGGGGCGAGGGGCAGTTAGCGCGGGTGTGTGAGGGGGAAAGTAAACGCGGCTGGGTTGGGCTGGGTGAGCGGGTCGGTGGTGGGTCGCAGGGGTGTGAGCCGCTGGCTGTGGTGGCCCGGGGAGAGGCAAACGGTTGCCGCCCGCATGGCCATGTCCCATGCCATGCCATGCTGCCACTTTCACCATCTACTTACACTCTCTCCTTCTCCCTTCTCTTTCCTCCCTCCTCTCCCTTCACCCCAACTCATCACCTGTCCGCAGCGCCCACCTCGCCACGCTCCCCCACGCGGGCAGCTGTGTCTCCGCGTCACTCGACCCAAGCGCCCCTCTCCCCCCCCGCCGCCCCACCTCCCCTCGCCATTTTTCCTACAACCTGCGCCTCCCTTGCGCGACTTCCATCGCCCACCCGCTCCTCACCAACCCGCGCGCCCTGCTGCTCGCGCTGCTCCTCGCTGGGGCCCTCGCTCTGCTCGCCCTCCTGCCGCCCTTTGTACGATTTTCTGCTCTATATTGCCCTGCCGTGCCGTACCATGCCGTGCCTTGCCGTGCCGTGCCTTGCTGTGGCGAGTCGTGATGCCAGTCTGTCAGCATTTCGCTCGCCATGCCGCCTGTTTCTGCTTTCACCGTTGTGCTATTCTACATAGTGCTGCCGGATCACACCATGCTGCTTGCTCCACCGCACCATTTCTTCTTTCCTCTCACTTCCTCCCATCGTTCCATACACCCTCCGTCGTCCCATCACCCTCCCCTCAGGCCCATCATAGCACCTCCTCCGAAGCAACCCCCCTCTCTGCCGCTGCTGCAGGCACCACCCTCGGGTACTGCCCTCCCTCGCTCCCACCCCATCGCTCATATTACATCCCACCATCCCCATGCCACATACCACATTCTCTTTCCCCACCTCGTAATCTTCCATCCGTCCCACCATCCTGCCATCCCCGGTCCGTGCGTCCCCCTGCCACCCATCTCTCACTTCTCTCCCTTTCCCCCTTCCCCTCCCCCCACGCGCCCTCTCCTGTGCTTCCCCACGCGCCCCTGCAACCCCCTGCAGCGCCTCGCCCCAGCAGTCACGGCTGTGGCAGCTGCTGCAGCGGCAGCAGAACCTGCACGCGCAGCAGGCGTGGGGGCGACTGCACCAGTCGCTGCTGCTGCCGCTGCACCACCGCTTCTCCCGCTGGTCGCTCTTTACCTCTCTCTTCCACGTGCGTGCGTCTGTGCTCTGCACTCTGCTCTGCACTCTGCTTTGCTCTGCATTTGCGTGTGCTCTGCTCCCTAGTTTCTCAATGCTCCCTGTCCCGTCACATTCTGCATTTTGCCATCTGTTCTCCACTCTCCTCTTCTCACCTCCCCGCCACATTTTTCTCTCTTCTTTTCTGTCCTCCGTCCGCTCCATCTGCTCTCCCTGTCCCCGTCAGCACGTACGTCTGGGAGGGGAGCGCCTACTCTTTGTCAACGCCTCTCTGCCTCCCTCCGCGCTGCCCCCCTCCGCGCTCCCCTCCCCCTCACTGCCACGCTCCCCCTCGCCGTGGCTCAACGCGGGGGGGAGGCTGGAGGAGTGGGGCGGGGGCGATGGGCAGTGGCGGCGGGTGGCATGGAGGGGCGTGAGGGGGAGGGCAGCAGCGTGTGTGGCACTGAGAGACACATTTGATACCGCCAGGGGGGAGTATCAACGCGCACTGCAGCTTCACCTGCAGTCCCTGCTCCCCCCGCTCTCCCCCCCTTGCCCCTCTTCTCCTCCCCGCCCCCCTGACCCTCCTCCCTCTGCTCTGCGCTCCTCCCTCTCCGCCCTGCGCCAGCGCCTGCTTACAGAGTGTGCTTATAACGGGGACGAGCTAGACCTGCCAGCAGAAGAGAGAGGGACGCTCAGACTGAGGGAGGAGGAGAGGAGGAAGGGCGGGGGAGGGACAGGCGAGGGAGGGGAGCGGGGCAGGCAGGAAAAGAGTTTGTTAGAGGCAGACGGGGGGTGGCGGTGCAAAGGGGACGAGCAGGGGAAGGAGGCGCGGGCGTGTGTGGGGGTGAGGGCGGACGTGCCGGTTTGGCAGCGGCGGCGCGAGCTGTTCCCACAGGTTGCAGTGGGCATGTCGCTGCTGCTGCAGTACTTCCAGCAGCCCTCAAACGTGCAGCCCCTCGTCTCTCGCTTGCACGCCTGCGCTGCTCAGGGGGGAGGCGGTGGGGGTGTGGGTGCTGCAAGTGGCGGTGGTGGTGCTGCTGCTGCTGCCAAGACAGAGGGTGGTGGTACTGGGAACGTGGGTGGGGGCGCGGATGCACAGCAAGGGCGTGGGCGTGGGATTGGGGTTGGGGTTGGGGGTGGGGATGGGGGGGCAGGATGGGAGGTGTGGGAGGGGCTGGGGGGCGAGGTGAGTTGGGATGAGCGAGCGGTGGGGAAGGGAGGAGGTGCAGCGGCGGGGAAGGGAGGAGGTGCAGGGGCGGGGGGGGCGGAGAATGGCAGCATAGCAGGGGAAATGGGCGGGGGGGGGCAGGCAGGGTACAGGATAGAGCTGACCGCCAATGTGGATGAACCCTCCTCCTGGCCGCTCTGGCTGCAGATGTGGCAGGACACTGGGGGAGGGCATGGGGAAGGGCAGGGAGGGCAGGGTGGGCAAGGGGGAGGGCAGGAGAGAGGGCAGGGGGGAGGGAAGGGGGAAGGGCAAGAGGGAAGGCCGGAGGGAGGGCAGGGGGTGAGCCATTGGGCAGGGCTGTCACTGCCACCGCTACCGAGTCAACCACAACCAGGCCCCGAGCCTACCAACACCACACTCCTACCCCCCTCACATCCCCCTTGGTGCGGGCATCATGGGTGCAGCCACCCCTCCTTCCTGCGCGTCATCTTCCGCCACAACACCCACGAGGTCTTCGCCTTCAACCGCGCCGCCTCCGCCTCCCGCGCGCCCCTGCTCGCCCTGCTCCAAGACGACCTCCTCCCCCCCGCCTCCTGCCATTGGCTGCACGCCATCCTGCACGCCCACGCCGCCCAGCCGTCCCTCGCAGCACTGGGGTACCGCACAGGCAAGGTGGATGTGGACAGCCGCGGGGGCGAGGGCGTGAGGGCGTACCAGCGGCAGAGCCGGGCGCTGTGGGCGCAGCCGGCGTGGGAGGCGCGGGCGGGCGTGCGGGGGTACATGGCGGGGGTGGTGGACTCGGGGCCGCTCGTGGTGCGGCGTGCGGTGTGGGAGCGCATGGGGGGGCTGGATGAGGGCATGTCGACGAGAGGGCAGAGCGCCATGGTGACAGACTGGGTGCTGGCGTTCCATGTGTGGATGGCCGGCCACAAGGTGCGTGCATGGCTTTTGAGGTGCCTCAAAAGGCTGGATGAGGGCATGTCCATGAGAGGGCGGAGAGCCATGGTCACTGACTGGGTCATGGCGTTCCATGCATGCACGGGCCATGTGTGCATGCACGGGCCATGTGTGCATGCACGGGCCATGTGTGCATGCACGGGCCATGTGTGCATGCACGGGCCATGTGTGCATGCACGGGCCATGTGTGCATGCACGGGCCATGTGTGCATGCACGGGCCATGTGTGCATGCACGTGTGCCATGCACGGGCCATGTGTGCATGCACGGGCCATGTGTGCATGCACGGGCCATGTGTGCATGCACGGTGCCCCGTGCCAACCTCGTGCTGCCGCTGCTGGATGCGTGGCAGTGACGGGTGAGAGTGGGTGGCGGTGATGGGTGGCGATGGTGGGCGGCAGTGACGGTCGACAGTGAAGGGCGGAAGCGACAGGAGATGATTCGCTTGACTGCGCATGAACCGAAGCTGGATGTGTGGGATGGGGGTGATGCACGCTGCTGCTGGTCTGCCTGACCACCATGCTACAGCACAGCCACTGCAGCCTCGCCCTTGCAGGCATCACGACTCACCACAATCAGTGCATGGTGAGAATAAGCATGTTTAAGCATCCCATCCGACATGTTTGTTTGCACTTTCAGCCCAGTATTCTGACAGCAGGGCGCCGTGGGAAGGATGGGATGGGTGGGATGCAGTGTGAGTGGCGGCACTTACTGAGGCGCCATGCTTTTCACATGTCAACCCATTCTGCAACGTCTTGTCTGTGCTGACATTATCAACATTATTTAAAAAGAATATGGTACAAGAACATCGAATCAGTGAATTTGTAAAGCCTGGCATGTGAGACAGAGCATCAGCTTGGTATACCGGCAGTGCTTCGGCTTGTTGCCAGTCGGCGTGCACGTCACTGCAGCAGCATCGCCAGCACCACTCAGTCGCTCTGGGAAGGCAGGCAAGCACGCGGCGTCTGTAAGCTGTGGGGCGTCACTCCCCACACCTTAGTGATTCCCCACACCTCAAGGGCGCAATCTGGGCGTGGGGTGGGGGGTGTCACTCAGTGTCAGGCATGGGGCAGTCGAGGGCGGGCAGGCTGTGCAGCAGTGAGAAGAGCTGCTCCGCATCAAACGACGCCTCCCTCCCTCTTACTGGCCCCACTCCCTCCCCCTTCCCACTCCACCGCGTCACTGGGCCATGGGGTGGCATCACTCAGGCATGGGGCAGTCGAGAGCGGGCAGGCTGTGCAGCAGGGAGAAGAGCTGTTCTGCATCAAACGACGCCTCCCTCCCCCGCCCCACCCCGCCACCCTCCCCCCCCCACACCACCTGCTCCTGCTTCTCCCCCTGCTGCTCCTCCTGCCTCGCCGCCCCTGCCCCCACCTGACTCTCCCCCACTGTCTCTCCCGCCCACCCTCCTCCCATCTCTGCCCCAACCCCCCCCGCCATCACAGCTGCATTCCCGCCTGCCACCCCTCCCACCACAGCTCCGCCACTCTCACCTGCGCCCTCCTTCCCGCTGCCCGCGCACACCCCCGCGCCTGCACTCCCTGTGAGCACATTGGTCACCACCAGCGCGCCAAAGCTGTTCTCCGAGATCAGGATCCGCCTCGGCCCGCCCTCCCCCTCCCCCTGCGCCAGCCCCTGCCCCTCTCCCTCCCCCTCCCCCTCCCCCTGCGAAAGCTGCCACGCCACGCTGCTGCGGCAGCGCTGCAGGCGCCGCAGCCAATCAGGCATGGCGGCTGGGTCGGTGGGGGCGTCTCCGCCCGTGAGAGGCGGGAGGGAGGAGTGGGGGGGAAGCGGGGGGAGCGGGGGGAGCGGAGGGGGCGGGGGGGAGGAGGGCGTGAAGTGCACGGGAGCAACGGTCGGTTGAGAGAAGGCGAGTGTTGTGAAGGGGAGAGGGTCCGAGGGGCCTGCGAGGGGGGAGGTGAGGGCAGCGGGAGCAGAAAGCGGCAACTCCAGGGGTACTGCGTCATGCACAGGCTGTGCCACGGGCGGACGGGGGTCCCAGTGGGCGGCATGCGCGGCCATGGAATGCAGGTCGTCCGCGGACAGCCGTGCATCCGCGCGCCTCAGACGGGCCACTGCAGGCGGGGCTGACGCTACAGCGCTCACGGCTGCGTGCACTTCTGCGCCCAGCGCGGCGGGCTGAGTTGGCTGGTTCAGGTGCACTTGAAGGTGGTCGCTGCTGTACTGTTGCTGCTGGCCCTGCGACCACTCGGCTGCTGCGCCTGCCATCTGCACCTGCTGCTGCTCCTGCTGCTGCTGCTGTGGTTGGTCGTGTTGCACCGGGTACTGAAACTGAAGCTGCTGTTGCTGCCATTGCTGCTGCTGCTGCTGTTGCTGCTGCTGTTGCTGCCATTGCTGCTGCTGCTGCTGCTGTTGCTGCTGCTGTTGCTGCCATTGCTGCTGCTGATGCTGCTGCTGGTGCTGTTGTTTCTGTTCATACTGCTGCTCGTGCGCCCAGTGGGGGGGCTGCTGCTGTTGCATCAATTGCGCATTCACCCGCTCAGTGCCGCACGTGCACTCGCTGCACCGCGCCTCAACAACAGCAGGAGCGCGTTCCGCCGCACCCACGCGTCCCGCGCACGCCTCGTCCGCGGCCCATGGCAAGCCGCACGCAGCGGGGCCCTGAGGGGTGACGGGGGCGGAATCCGAGGCGGGGTGCTGCCACCCAGCGCTGCTGCTGGGGGGCGGGGGGGACGCAGAGGCGGACGCGGACGGCGGATGGGGGGCGGGAGCAAGCACGAGCATGGGCTGCTGCGCTCCACTCGCCCCCAACCGATCCGCACCCTGCTGCGGCCCCATAAAGTCACCGCTTCCTCCTCCGCCCCCTCTTCCTGCTGCAGCTGCAGCTGACCCCGCCGCCGCCCCCCTCATCTTCTCCTCCTGCTGCCTTTCGTGCCACTGAGCCGCTAGCCCAGCAGCAGTGGCGGTGGCCTGATCCGAAGGACCCCTCCACCCAGCACTGGCAGCAGTCGCACCTGCTGCTGCTACGCCCCCCGACACTTCCGCAGCAGAGCCCATCGCCTGGGGGACGCCCGCCTCCTCCGCCCATCCGCCACTCTCCGCTACACAGTCCCGCTCCGCGGAACGCCGCTGCTCGCCGCCCAGCGACGCGCCTGCCCACCCGCTGCTGCCGCCAACAGGCGACGCATCAGCAGCGGGGTGGGGCGAGGGGAGCGCGGCGGGGTGCATGCCCATCGTGATGGTGGCGGGCGGCGCGTGCAGGTGCCGGCCGCTGTACGAGATGGCGAGGTCGCTCGCGGGCGAAATCTTGTTGAAGTCCACCACGCGCTTCGCATCGCACTGCTCGTCGCCCACGCGGTGCGCACAGCGGAAGTAGTGCCTGGGGGGAGGAGGAGATGGGGGGAAAAGGGAAAGGGAAAAGTTAGGAACAGGCATGGCACAAGAGACGATATCTTGGGAGGCTCCCTGAAAAGAACATGCAGATTAAGTTGGGAATATGCTTGCTGCTTGCGGCAAGGGAAAGGGAAAAGTTAGGAACAGGCATGGCACACGCGACGACATTTTGAGAGGCTCCCTGAAAAGAACTTGCAAATTAAGTTGCAAATATGCTTCAAGCATGCATGCATGCGTGCAAGTTGCTGCATGCGGCTGGAACACTTTCAGAGCAATCTTGGGCTTTGAACACGGTCACAACCTTTCTCAGTTCCCTTCCAGATGAAGGAGAAATTCGTGCAGGGCCTTACCTGGTGTGCGTGCCGCCTGATAGTTCCTTCTGGCCGTACTTGAGCCACACGTGCCCGTCGCGCGGCAGCCGGTGCTCAAACAGGATCAGCTTCGACCGCTTGCACGGCCGCGCCGCGCTCGACGATCCCGCCGTCTTTCCCGCCGCCGCTTTCGGCGACTTCACATCGGACGACTCGTTGATTGCGTCGCCTGCCGCTGTGGGTGGAGTCAATGAAGTAACTATTACTGGAGGCGCCTCTTCTGCCGCCAGAGAGTCTTCGCTTCGTTCTCGCTTGATCGCGCGACCCTCCTTTTTGGTCGACTCGGCTTGGAGCCCTCCAGAGCCGTTAGTCTTTCTTCGATCTTCTTCCATGGTGATTTTGCCACCGAATCTGGAGCCGGCGTGGCCGGCGCAGCGTAGGGATATTGTACTTGAAATGCCTCCTCCAAGGAAGAAGCGGGGCTTGGAGTCGCGTGTAAGAGTTTCTAACTCAGCACACGGAGGCATGGTGGTGTCGCCTACGAATCACGTGCAGAATCTTGAGCTTAGAGCGAATACATTGGTGTCGAGGCGAAATAACAAAACGCTGTTTTTGTAAGGCCACATGTCGAGGGCGGTGGTAGAGATAGAACGGTCCGCGTGATGTTGCTTGCTGGCTGGCAAAATGGATGTGCAAACGGGACTGTGTGGCAGAACTACGCGTTGGAACGTTCGCTGACAATTTTCAGGCTACCCGACAATATTTATTTTTTTCTGGAATGCGAAGTTCTGTTAGAGCCAACGCTATAAGATGAATTTCCATCTTGCGACCAAACGGCTCAGTTATCTTCCACCATTTTCTACAACTGATTGCGGGGCAACCATCATTTTTGTGGACGATACTAGAAAGAAACACATTGTGAAGTGAGGCACGCCCAAACCAGCTTCCAGCCCACAATAGCATGTTGCTGGCTGACACGACACTGCACTCCACCCATGGTTGCGACTCGGAGTGGACTTACGCACCGTACTGTATCTCGTCAACCTCCGACAGTCTGAGCCCAGACAACGTCGCCGCTTTCCAGTTCACAAAACACGATGCCAGCGCACAATCAACGCGGACTTCATCGATGCCGTACGCGGTACACCTTGAGCGCGGATTCAATTCCATAGAGACGAATGAAGCCAAAAGCAACCGTGTGCTGTCAGCGACCCGCGTTTCACTTCACTCACGCGGAGAGTGTAGAAACGACACAAACATTACTGTTTCAGAGTACATGTTCTAAGCACAGTGCACTTTCAACAAAACATAGAATGCAAAAAATCGTTTCACTACAGTTGTGCCATTCCATGTAAGCAGCAGGCAGCAGTGACCTTTTGCATGTGGCGAAGGCATTTCCCCATTCCCTAACAAAAATGAAGGAAGAACGCAGCGAGAAAATAGTAATAGTGACGACTTCTTTACGTTAATTCACAGTTGAGCTGTCGCTAACTATATTTAAAGGTGTGTACAGAAATTTGTTTTCTATTTCCTCGAGAAGTCGTGATGTTGTCTGGGCTTGTTCAAACATCAAACCCATGTACTGTTCAATCTTCGTCTTGTACCTACCTACTACCTAAACTGTACGACCATACTGTACATGATGCAAGATTCACGACACGACACGACCTTCGGTATGGAACAAACTGAGCCAAAGGGGCTTCTGGTCGGTTCTGTGCAAGCACGTACACAGTCACTGCTGCTGATTTCGTCACCCCATTGGCAAGGTTGGCGAGTGGGCCTGTCGCCACTGTACACTCGAATGCACAGAAGCTGAGATTTTGATCGGAAAGCACATGAAAACTCACGTGGAGAGCGCGAAGGCATATACACCTGATGCCTATTTCAGTCCCGTTCCCCATCTTTCTCTGTGCTCCTCCCTCGAGCGCGTGCCCGCTAGGGGCGAAATGGGACTGAATGTAGAACAGTGGCCATAATTGTGGGTAGCCCAGCGTGTTTTGTCTGGGAAACTCGAATAACTTATTCGAGGTCAAGAATATCCTGGTTTTGTCGTGGGCCAGTAACAAGCGGGCCGTTGGCTGTGAATGTCGACCATTGGGAGTAATGAATGGCAGTTCCATGTTCAGAGTGGGTGGTTGAGTGAGCATCAGGGTGTACAGAATATCCCGATGTTACACAATGGTTCATTACTTGACTTTCATTCTTCCATCACAGCTTCAGTTAAAAAATAAATCCGACTACAAGCATAGTGTTACGGGTGCAATGAATCGAGGTAGCGAGGATTGCACTAAGGTGTCAACCGAGTACAAAATGTGAGCGAAGGCATGAGCGAACATTTATACGCGAAACATGCAAACGGGAACGCGGTGTGTGCGAGCTGGCTAGTGCTATGTTGGCAGTGAGGTTCCGGCTAGTCCCGAAGCGTAGACCGACACGGCCGGGCCAGCAGTGCGAGGTTTGGTGAAACAGTGCGCGCGAAGTCGGCGAAGCCCCGTTAGCAGCAACGGGCGAACAACGGCTGCTGCTGTACGCGATGTTGCAGGGCGCGCTAAGGAATGTCGATAAAATTCCTTACACTACCCCCCCCCCCCCCCTCAAGAAACCCCCTCCGCTATGCGAGTGCGTGTATATCGCGGAAACCCCGGCTCCTCCGGTACACTTGCAGAGCAGGGTGGTTTTCGATGTTGGCCAGGGGCACCCAGTTATCCTCAGTTGGCATGCGATCCTTCCAGCGAACGAGGAATTCAATCCTCCTGATTCCCATGGGGTGTCGAATCCGATGGCTCAGGATTTTCTCGGGCTCGATGATCGGCTCCGATGCAGGGCGAGTCATGGATGGCGGGCGGTGACGAGGCAGTTGGCTTGTGGTTGGGATGTAGGGGCGAAGCAGGCTGACGTGGAATGAAGGGCTGATGTACCACTCTGTCGGCAACAGTAAATGTGCTGCCACAGGGGTAATCATGTGGTTGATTTGAAATGGTCCACAGTAACGCGGTCGTAATTTCGGTACGACGGGCAGTCTTAAGTTCTGTGTGTCGAGCAGTACGTAATCGCCTGACTCGTACGTGACTGGGCGGCGGTGGGGGTCAGCGTTGCGTTTAGCGATGGCGTTTGTTTTTTTAATTGCTTTGGCGGCTCTGGTGCGGGCAGCTTGCAGAATTTCGGCGAATTGCTGTGCACGCAGCGTTGGGTTGTCCGGGCTCGGCGTCATGGGCACTGTAGGGTTTTGTCCGTAGTTCAGGTAGAACTCAATCAGCGGCAGCTGCTGACCCAAGTTGTCGGGTCGTCGCACGTGGCACGAATCAACTGCTCCATCATCTGATTCGTCCGCTCCGTTTGTCCGTCGGTCTCGGGGTGGTACAACGAGCTGAACTGTAGCCTGGTCCCGAACTGCTCCCAAAGGTTTTTCCAGAAGTTTGTTGGTGAACTTCGTGTCGCAGTCGCTGATTATTGCGGCTGGTATCCCGTGCAGTCGAACGACGGCTGCGATGAACAGACGAGCGGTTTCTTCGGCTGAGATCGATTTCTTGCACGCAGCGAAGTGTGCCATCTTCGTCAACCTGTCAACGACGACCATAACTGCGTCTTTACCCCCAGGTTTCGAAGGTAACCCTGTGACGAAATCCATGGTAACCTGCCGCCAGGCGCGCTCAGGCGGTGGAATCGGCTGCAACTGACTCGCCTTTCTTTTTCGCGAGCTCGTCATCACCTGACACGTAGGACACGAGCCCACGTGGTGCTGTACGTCGGTCAACAGCTCCGGCCAATAGTAATACCGCTGCATTTGCTGTCGCGTTTTCTCTACCCCGAAATGTCCCGAGGTAATCCCGTCGTGTGCCTCCTGCAGTAACAGTTCCCTCAGTGTTGAGTACGCGGGTACCTAGATGTGGTTGGTGCCTACCTTTACGTAATAGACTCCGTTAGCTTCTGCTAGCTGCTGTGAATTTCCGGTCGCCAAAAATGGGTCGGTACTGTATCCGTGGGTGAATAGGCCTGTTAGCAATGGGTTGGTTTGGGCGAGTAGGATGGCGTGGAGTTGGGTGGTGGGGCGTGTGAATGCGTCGGCGATGTTGGATGCGCCTTTTTTGTACGTGACCGTGTAGTGGAAGTTGGACTCCAGATAGTCCAACCAGCGGATCTGTCGTGGGTTGAGATTCGGTTGGACGCGAAGATACTGTAGTGATCGGTGGTCTGTCCGTATTGTCACGTCTGCTCCCGTGAGGTAACATCGCCACACCTTGAACGTGTGCACGATCGCCAGCATCTCGCGGTCGTGTATCGTGTAGTTGCGTTCGGGCGGGTGAAGCTTGCGGGACTCATACGAGATTGGCTGGAGGTCGTTCCCGAAGTCCTGCAACAGTACTGCTCCCACAGCGATGTCACTAGCGTCGGTGACGAGTTCGAACGGACGGTGCGGATCTGCAATGTGAAGCACGGGCGGCGAGCACAAAATATTTTTGAGGGCCGAGATGGTAGCTTGCTCTTTCTCCCCCCACGTGTACTCAACCCCCTTCCTCAGCAGGTCGGTCAACGGGGCGGTCAACTGCGCCATGTCGGGGACGAACCGTCGCACGTAGTTGACGAACCCCAGAAAACTCTGCAACTCAGTCAAGTTGGTCGGCGCGTGCCATGCTTGAATCGTCGCGATCTTCTTCGGGTCTATTTCCACTCCTGCAGCTGAAATAATGTGTCCCAAAAACTCCAGCCGGTCTTGTAAAAACTCACACTTAGACGCTTTGGTCAGTAGGCGGTTCTCACTCAGTATCTTAAAAACTGCTTCGATGTCCTGTAAGTTGTGTGCTCTGTCGGGGCTGTAAATCAGTATGTCATCAAGGTACACGATGACGCACTTATCTAAAAGCGGGCGGAAGGCTTCGTTGATGGTCATTTGAAAAGTGGCGGGGGCGTTGGTCAGTCCGAAGGGCATGACGGTGTACTCGAACGATCCGTAGCGTGTTCGGAAGGCAGTCTTGGGGCAGTCGGGTGGGTTGACGCGAATCTGGTGGTAACCTCCCCTAAGGTCGATTTTCGAGGAAACCCGGGCTGTGCGCAGTTGGTCGATCAGTTCGTCGGCTCGCGGAATGGGGTAACGGGATTTAATGGTAACCCTGTTCGGTGCCCTGTAGTCTATGCATATGCGAAAACCCTCGTCCTTCTTCGGCGTGAACAGTATCGGTGCTGCGAAGGGTGACGAACTTGGGCGAATGAACTCCTTTTCGAGCAGGTAATCCAGCCGCTTTCTCAGTTCAGGTTGGGTCAGTCGGAATTGTCGCTGTACTGTCGGCTGTGCCCCCGGTTCTAGTTCTATCCTGTGGTCATGCGGTCGCTGAGGTGGCAGTCCCGTTGGCAGATCGTCCGGGAATATATCACTGTACTGCTTCAATAGTGCTGCCAGATCATCCGGTACATCGGCTAGCAGTTTCTGTAAATCCCCCCCTTTGTCTGCTGCCTCGGCTTCCCGAATGTCAACCGCGTACACGTCAGCTCCTGCCGCTACGGCGCGTTTCATCGTGATCGCGTTGACACGCACCGACGAAGACTCAGGCGAGCCCCAACGAGGTAAAGCGATGTTGTTACCGTTCACTCGCACGGTGCAGTCACCCGTCGTCTAGTCGATTCGCGGATTGTGTCGTCGCAGCCAATCACGCCCGAGTAAAATGTCGGTTCCGTCGAGGGTTGTTGCGAGCATTTCCTGGCTAAACGTGAATTTACCCCCACATCAAATCCGAACCCGGTCCACACGTTCCCGTATCGCCAGTGGCGTGCTGTCGACCAGTCTTGCGTCGATCTCAGGTAAGCATCTGTCCAGTGGCAGTCTCAGTTTCCGTGCTATGGCAGTGTTGATAAGGCTGTGGCTGGCTCCCCCGTCTACGAAGATTTTAACTAAGTTGGTCCCGATTTTCCCACTAAGCAGTATGGGGCTGTCTACCGTAGTACCCTCCTTATTCGGCCGGGTGCGGTCGATTGCGTGAACCGGCACAATCACTCGGTGAGGGTCGGTTGGGTCGGGCGAGCGGCGTGACCTGTCAGTAGAGGGCCCGTCTGCTACTGACTCCTAGCGTTTCCCTGATGCTTGGTCTGTTTCTGCTGCTCAGCTTCCCCCTTTCCCTTAACATTTTCCGGGCATTCGCTGTTACGGTGTCCTGGCCGATTGCACGCGAAGCAGTGCCCTTTGAACGGTGCGGCAGTGGCATTCGCGGCGACGGCACGTATCGTAGCGCCCTCGTTCGTCCCACGAGACCGATGTCCCCAGTTGCTGCTTCCGTAGGACCCCGGTCTCGGTCGGTGGAAGAAGTCAAGTTTCTCCGCCATAGCAAGAATTTCTTGAAAGTCGGTGACGCCGCGAAGCTGGATTTCCTGAGCGATGTCGTGCTTCAGGCCGCCGATGTAGCGGTCGATGCGCTCGCTCTCGTGCATGTAACCCACTTGCTCGCATAGTGCCAGAAACCCGCTCGTGTAGTCCTGGACAGAACCGAGTTGGCACCAAGTGCGGAGCTTCTGTCGCGCCGCGATCGAAGCCGCAATTGGCTCAAACCGAGCGCGCAGACATGCGTACCACGCGTCCCACGTGCGATATTGGGGCACCTCCACGAAATACGACGGCGCCCAGGGTCCGGTTTGTCCTTGCCGTGTCGGTAGAGTCGCGTAGTCCACCGGCTTCGTGGCGACGACACGCCACCAATCCATGGCGGGTCCTCGCAGCAACGACACGGCGTAACGGATTTTCGCCGTATCCTCCGAGACGTAGTTGGCGTCGAAGAAGACGTTAATCGTGAACAACCACGGCTGAACGGTAGGACCACCCCGTTGACTCGGGTCGAAGCATGGTGGACGTTGCGGCTTCAGCGGCATCGGCGACGGCAGTGTTGATTCGCCGGCCGGCATGGAAATCATGACTCGAGGCTGACTTTTGGCCGCATTCGTCCCTTCGGAGTGTGTCGTGCCGTGGTCGTCGTCTCCATCGTGGTGGACGACACCATCACTGGCCGCGCTCGCGGGTTGCCCCACACTTCCATGTTGCGATGTCTGTGGTGCGGGTTGTATCGGAGTGCCAGGTGCTTGAGATTGTGCTTGCTGTGCTCTTGCGATGTCATTTTGCAGGGACGTGCGTTCTGCCGTCAGCGCCGCGATTTCTTCAGAGCTTTCGCGGATTTGTCGCAGCAGTTCATTCAAGTGCTCCTGCGTGAGAGTTGTGACGTTGATGTGCTCGGCCATGACGAAGGGCGTCGGCTCGGCTTAGTCTAGGCGCAGTCGTGGCTGCACGCGTTTACGAGAGAACGCGAGGACAACGGCTCCTAGGGGCTAAGGTGCGTGAGTCCGTTCGAGTGAAAAATCAAAAGTTGATCGCCTGGGGTGCGGAGATGCGCGGTCCGAAAAGAAAGAGGCTCTGATACCAAGTGTTACGGGTGCAATGAATCGAGGTAGCGAGGATTGCACTAAGGTGTCAACCGAGTACAAAATGTGAGCGAAGGCATGAGCGAACATTTATACGCGAAACATGCAAACGGTAACGCGGTGCGTGCGAGCTGGCTAGTGCTATGCTGGCAGTGAGGTTCCGGCTAGTCCCGAAGCGTAGACCGACACGGCCGGGCCAGCAGTGCGAGGTTTGGTGAAACAGCGCGCGCGAAGTTGGCGAAGCCCCGTTAGCAGTGACGGGCGAACAACGGCTGCTGCTGTACGCGATGTTGCAGGGCGCGCTAAGGAATGTCGAGAAAATTCCTTACACATAGCAGCAATACAGGCCATACAATAAGCTCTCATTTTAGGGAGAACACAAAAATTAATAATGATTTCAAGGGGCCACCACCATGCATGTGCATGGGAGTGCACATATCTGCGGGTAAGCGTTCTCGCTTGCATACAATCTAACGGCTGTGTGTGGTAGATGCAGTGTGTCAGTCGGAGTCTACAAGCTCCCAGCGGCACTGTGAGAGGTCCAGCACTGCGATCTCCCCATCGTCGTACAGAAACTGACCAGCTCCATGCCAGGGGAAGAGACGTGTGTGGGGGGGGAGACGTGTGGCAGGGGAAATGTGTGTCGGGGAGAAATAAGTGTGGTTGGGGGAGAGGTGTGTATGTGCCATGCACCACAAGTGAAACAGGTGGGGGTAGGGGCGCAGCCAGGGGGGGCAGATACACACAGGGGAGGGGGAATGAGGGGGATACGGGAGAAACATCAGTGACAAGGAGGAGCATGGCAGTGGTGTGTGAAAAGCATGGCGACGGCATGACAGCAGAGTGGCACACAGAGAGGAGCCTTGGACTAAAACGATTCGGAAAGAATGGAGGGGATGGCATGGCACAGAAGGGGATGGCATGGCACGGGAGGGGGGGCGGATGGCGTGGCATGGATGGGGTGGCATGGATAGCAGGATGCATGGGGCAGGCGCATGGGGCAGGAGGGCACCTCGATGGTAAACTTGCTGTGTGCCACTGATACCACCGTGCCGTTGCGGAACCTGCCCCCGCACACCAGGGGGAGGACCGGGGGGAGGGGAGGGTGGGGTGGGAGGCAGGGCAGGTGATAGCGCACACATGATAGAGGTGGGGAGAGGGGGAATGGGAAGGAGGGGGAAAGAGACGGGCAGAGAAGAGGTGCTGAGGTGAAACCTGTGTGACCATGGATGGTTGTATGTGGTGTGACCATGGATGGTTGTATGTGGTGTGACCATGGATGGTTGTATGTGGTGTGACCCACCACCCATCTCACCCACGCTTCTCTCCTTTGCCTGCCGATCACTCTCTCTCACCTCCCCACTCCTTCCCAACCCCAACTCTCAACAACCTCTCACCCATCCTCTCCACGCCACACCCACTCCCCCTTGCCCTCTCCCCACCAGCCACCCCTCCAAGTGCCCCATGCGGCACACCCACACAGGCAGCACTTCCCCCTTTCCATTCCCCCCCCACAAGAGCCTACCACAAGCTACCTTCCCTCCCCTAACCCGCCGCTCCCCTGATCCCCCCTGCGCCTCCCTGTGCCCACCTGTGGAGTTGCGGTGCCCAAATCCTGATCTGCTCGCCCTGCAGGTCGCGCACCGCACGGTGGGTCAGTGGCTGGGGGGGGGAAGGGACAGCCGGAGGGGAGACAGGCGATGGGGAACGGAGGAGGGGGAAGGGGGGAGGGGGAACAGGGTGGGGGGGGGAGAGCGGAAGGGAGAGGGGGCGCGTGAGTGCAAGCAGGGAGCGTGAGTCCTAGTGTGTTAGAGTCGTGCTGTACCACCATGCACGGTGAGCGGGCTGAAAAAGGGGGGCAAGCGATAGAGGGGAGCACGGGATGCAGGCAGCATGCCGAGTGATGACATTGGGGGTAGGGAGAGGAAATGTGGTGGCGACGGGGAGGGAAGAGCGAGAGATTAGAAACAAACCTGACATACATCACAGCCACCACACCACTCATCAAACTTACCACCCACACACCACACAGACACCACACACCTCTCCCACTGCACATCACCCATGCTTTACCTCGGATCGCCAGGAGAAGGGCAACGAGTAGCAGGCAGTGGGTGGCACCGTTTGTCTCTCAAAGCGCCACCGCTCCGCACGCAAAGATACGTGCTCCACGTCACCATCATCATATGCCACCTGGCAGAGGAGATGGAGAGAATCAGGGAGGGAGTGGGAAAGGGAGGGAGAGAAAGGGAGGGGGAGAGAGGGAGAGGGAGGTAGATGGAGGGAAGAAGAGGAAGAGATATTCGAGTGCTGGCCTGGCGTTAAAAAATGCAGAGGGCAACAGAGAGAAAGAAAGCAAGTGGATTTTGTGAAGATGAGGGCGTGTGGTGCATGCATCAACGAGGGTGGTCCTGAGTGGTGGCTTGCAAAACGAACAGGGAACAGCAGATGGAGGCAAGACCAAGTGGAGTAGGAACAGGCCTGTTGGGCGTGTTGGGACCACTGCGAGAACACTGGCACATGGCACGTGGGTGGCACATGGCACGTGGGTGGCACATGGCACGTGGGTGGCACATGGCACGTGGGTGGCACATGGCACGTGGGTGGCACATGGCACGTGGGTGGCACATGGCACGTGGGTGGCACATGGCAGGTGGGTGGCACATGGCACGTGGGTGGCACATGGCAGGTGGGTGGCACATGGCAGGTGGCACGCACCCTGTGCTTGAGAGTGGAAGCATCGTAGCCGCCAATGACCCCCTTGAAGAACCTGCTAGGGAGGGCAGGCAACGAGGGACGGAGCATTATCAGGAGAGGAAGCGAACAGTGGCACAAGACCACAACAGGTGGAATGGCAGGGGGTTTGGGCGGGTCAAGGGAAGCAGTGATGCCAGTGGCGAGGTGCCCCACGAGACAATCAAAGACAAGGGTAAAATGAGAGGAGAGCATGGGAAGAGAGGGGGTGGGTGACATCATGCATGGTTGAAGAGCCACCTGCGTGGTTCCAGACAAGCAACAGTGTCAACTACTCCCTTCCCGTCCGCACCACTTCCCACAGTGCTCCCATGCCCCAATCTTTCCCCCACTTGCACCCTGCCCCATCCCCACGTCACTCCTCCGCATCCTCACACCACCCCTCCCTTGCCCCACTCCCACATCACTGCTGCCCTTCCCCACCCACACAAGCGCCTCTCCTGCCCTGCCCCACCTGCCCTCCACCAGCCCCCCTCTTCACGCACCTCTGTTCCAGCGGCCACCACACTTCCACCCTTCGCCCCACCAGCGCCTGCTGCCGTGCCAGCGCCTCCTGCTCCGCCCGGCTCAGCCCCGAACCTGGCCGCTGCGCCGAACCAAACAGCTTCGGCGCATCGGCCAGGCTCAGCAGGGGCGCACCATCCGCAAGCCTCTTGCCCTTGCCCGTAGCAGCACGAGCAGCTCCGCCCGACCCCACACCCCGCTTCACCCCCCTGCCTCTCCCTCCTGCCTCCTCCCCTGCTCCTTCCCCCTCCCCATCGCCCCCTGCCCCCTCTCCAGCGCCCTCCCCTGTGCCTCTCCCCGTGCTGCTTCCCCCCTGCGCGCCTCTGCCTGCTCTGCCCGGTGGGTGCGCCTCCAGCTGCCACTGCTCGCGGCCCAGCACCATGTGCTCCTCGTCCCCATTGTCGTACCGCACCTGCGAACAGAGGAAAGGGAGGAGGGGAGGGAGCGAGGGGGTTGGAAGGGAGGGAAGGAAGGGGGGAAGAGGGGAGGGAGATAAGGGGGAGGGGAAGGGGAGAAGAGGGGAGGGAGGGTTGGTGAGGCCTTTAGAGTGTGAGTGTATGGACCAGGGGGAGGAAGCGGGGAAGGGAGGCGGGGGAGAGGAGGAGAGGAGTGCGGGTGGAAGACAGGGGAGAGGAGGGCTGGCTGTATGCAGTCATTGTGGAGTAAGCTGGTATTGGAACATGCGCAGACTCACCTGCTGCCGTTCATTCACGCCACTCTAAGTCACATCAGAAGAAATTCACATCACATCAGATGCTCCGTGCACTAGCCCTCACATGCTCACATGCTGCTGCTCACATGGTGCTACCCCGCATGCTGACATGACATACACGTGGGTTCACATGCATGGTGGAGGGGCAACTCACATGGTGCTTCATGGTGGCGGGGTCAAAGCCCATAACCGTGCCTGCGAAGAACCTGTGCGGGGGAGAGAGACAGGGAAGAGGTGGCAGGGCGTCACGAGCGAGCGCAACTTGGGACGTGGGCAACGGGCGCTTGGCTAAGGCAGCAATGAGGCAAGGGCGGTGAGAAGCCAGGGCGGTGAGAAGCCAGGGCGGTGAGAAGCCAGGGCGGCAAGAGGCAACGGAGCAATCGGCCACGACTTATCCTCACCACACCACCTCTGGTAACCGCCCACCCATCCGCCGCACTCTCCCTCCTCTATCTCTCGTCAGCCCTTCCTCACCCCCCCCCCCTCCCACCTCTGTTCCAGGGGCCACCAGAGCTGCACGCGCTGCCCCACCAGCGCCTGGCTCAGCCGCTCCAGCATGGCATCCCGCACCCCCTCCGCCTCCGCGCCCCCTCGCCCCCCACCCCCGCCCCACCACGCGCCCCCGCCCCTCCGCCCCCTCCCCCGCCCTCCTCTCCCTCCCCTCCCTCCCCCCTTGGTGCCAGCACCATCTTCCCCTGTCTCCACGTCACTGCTACCTCCTATGGCCACGCCTCCCCTCCCTGCGGACACCACACCCGCCTGCCCTCCACGCCCTCCTCGCCCTCCCCGCCCTCCCCTCGCCACGCGAGTCATTGCAGCTGCCACCACTCTAGCTGCTGCGTGTCTGCTGCTGCCACTTCCCCCTCGGCCCGGCCCTGCTGCTCGAGCGCAAGACATGCCCCCTCTCCTGCCCTGCCCGCATGCAGCAGCAGCACTGGCGTCACCACCAGCAGTAGCAGCAGCAGCAGCAGCACTGGCGTCACCACCAGCAGTAGCAGCAGCAGCAGCAGCAGCAGCAGCAACGCCAAGCCCCTTGAGGTCACCTGTAGCCACATCCTCTCTCCCATCGCTGCCTTTGCTCCCTCTTCCATCTCGTCTCCCTCCTCTCCCTCCCTTCCCTCCTCTCCCTCCTCTACCCCTTCTCACTCCTCTCCCCCTCCCTCTCTCCCCTTTCCCTTCTCTACCTTCAAACATCCCCTCCTTTCCGTCTCTCTTCCCCTCCTCTCCCCCCAAGCGTCCCCCATCCCCTTCCCTTTCCTGCTGACGTGTCACATCAGTGCAACCAGCAGTGTCCACGTGTGCACCCACTGCCAGCGCGCCATTGCCAGTGGCGGACCCCCTTTCAGGCACATCATCTGGAGTCACACCCCTCACTGCCGCCACTCCCTCGCCACACGCCTGTGCTGCTGCTACTGGGCATGCCATGCCATGTGCGCACATGTGCACTGGCCCCACATGGTGGGGACAGCAGAGGTCAGGGGGCATGGCAGTAGCAGCATGCATGTGACACGGCACTTGAGCGTGGGGGTGGGCGAGGGCATGGGTGTGATGATGCATGCATGTTGCAGGGTAGGTGAGACCACATGCTGCGGGGATGTGCACACACGGATGTGCATGCGCGTGGACATGGGCATGGGCAGGGGCAGGGGCAGGGGCATGGGCATGGTTATGAGCCTGTGCAGGGATGGGGGATTTGGTGTTGGTATGAGTATGCATGTCACCGCATGCATCATGGGGCGACGAGGGGCCACGAGGGGCAGGTGGGAGCAGAGAGAGAGCCTGCTTCTGCCACCCGCTCCTCGGCACCGTCTGTCCCGCTCCCTCCACCGCCACACCCTGCAATCCTGGCCGTTGATCCGTAGCCATGCGCCACATGTGCTCATGCGCTATCACCACAGGAGTCCTTGCCCCTGTGTGCACGCCCCCTGTGTGCACGCCCCCTGTGTGCACGCCCCCTGTGTGCACGCCCCCTGTGTGCACGCCCCCTGTGTGCACGCCCCCTGTGTGCACGCCCCCTGTGTGCACGCCCCCTGTGTGCACGCCCCCTGTGTGCACCCCCCCTGTGTGCACGCCCCCTGTGTGCACGCCCCCTGTGTGCACGCCCCCTGTGTGCACGCCCCCTGTGTGCACCCCCCCTGCACCATCCGCGCCTCTGCATGTGCATGCTGCACAGAAACTCTCCCCCACTAGCCCCTCTGCAGCGTCACACCCCTCCGTCTGAATCCGCTTCCTCCGTCTCTGATACTCCCTCCCATAACGCATGAGGCCCCCTTTCCCCACCTCCACCCCCACTCTCTTCACCTCCTCCCCCACTCTCTGCACCTCTTCCCACTCTTTCTTCACCACTCCTTCACCCCCCTCGCCCTCACCAGCACACACCCTCACACCTGCCAGTGGCTCCTCGCCCACTGGCTCTTTCTTTACAGTAACATCCATTTTTAGCCTCTTCCGCGAGTACACCCTCTCTACAGTCTGCCCCTTGATTCTCTGGTCCAGCTGAGGCCCCCCTACTTCCGTCTGTCTGCTCCCACTATATCCCACTGCTCCTCTTCCCACGGCAGCAGCAGCTGCAACAGCAGAATAAGGGCCGGCACTAGCAGCAGCCAAACAAGGCCCAGCAGGTACTTTGAAGCCACCACCACCAGCAGCAACCGCAGCAGCAGCACAGAGGTGGCAGTGAGAGGCAGGACAGCAAGAAACCCACTCCCTGCCCATACCCATACCCACGCCCACGCCCACGCCCACGCCCACGCCCACGCCCACGCCCACGCCCACGTCCCCCTGCCCGCCAGCGCACCCACCCACCGCCACAGCAGCACGGCCCCCAGCCGCAGCCACTGACGTCACACACGATCCCTCCTGCGCCCTCCTGCCACCTCCCTCCCCCTCGCCGCCCTCCCCACCGGTGGCCCCAGCAGCGGTGCTGCCCCCAGCAGCAGCGCCAGCAGTGCTACCGCGCACATCACTGCGCATGCCCCCTCGCACTCCTCGTGCCTGGCGCTTGCGCCTGGTGCCGCGCAGCAGGGGCACCGGGGCCCACCCCGGCCCCGGAATGAGGCGCCTGCTCCCACGACGCCCCTCCCCAGATATCTCTTCCCCGCGCTCCTGCAGATCTTCCTCCTCTTCCTCTTCCTCTTCCTCTTCCTCTTCCTCTTCCTCTTCCTCTTCCTCTTCCTCTTCCTCCACTTCCTCATCTTCCTCCACTTCCTCCTCTTCCTCTTCCTCTTCCTCTCCCTCTTCCTCCTCATCTTCCTCCTCCTCTTCATCCTCCTCCTCTTCCTCCTCATCTGCCTCCTCCTCCTCCTCCTCCTCTTCCTCCTCCACGTCCTCCTCCTCCTCCTCATCCGCCTCTAGAGCCATACTCTTAGCCCTGGCACGAGAAACATCAGCCAAGTCTCGGTCAGTGTCAAGCGCACCACCAGCGCTCACCAGAGTGTGCCCGTCCGCATGCAGCTCTGACAGATGCTGCCTCTTCGGCTGCTTCACCCACACTTTTCCTCTCCCTCTCCCTCTCCCTCTGCCGCTGCCTCTGCTGCTCCCTTCTGCACCTCTCCCCAAGGCAATCGGCACTGCTGCACCTCCTGCAGAAACACCCCTGCCTCTCCCCATCTTGCCACCACCCCTCTCTCCACACTCCCTTCCTCCCACCTCCCACCTGCCTCGCCCTCTTCCCCTCCCGCTTCCTCTCCCCACGCCCACTGCTCCTTGCTGCCCCATACTACCTCCTCTTCCCCGTCCTCTTCCCCTCACCCCGCCCCTGCCTGCCCCGCTGCCCCCTGTTACGACTCCCCCACACACATCCACCACAGTCTTCCCCCTCCCTTCCCCTTTTATTCCGTCCCCTTTTCCCCCTCTGCCTCCGCGCTTCCCCTTCCCCTGCGCGCCCCCAGGGGGAACGGTTCCCCCTGCATGCGGGGGGGTGGCGGGCAAGGCGGGCGGAATGGGGAGCGCGGGGAGGGCGGGGGCGGGGAAGGGGAGGGGGAGGGTGAAGGGGGAGATGGTGCGCGTGGCGAGGAGGCCGCGGCAGTTGGGCTCCCCGCAGTGGCACTCCTTGGGCTGTAGCTCGAACCCTATGAACCTGCATGGGCACAGCAAGGCGGGGGTGCGCATAGGGGGGTAGAGGGGGCAGAGGAGATGGTGATTGCAGTCACGAGAGCGGCGGTTGCTGGTCTGACGCATTCTGAGAGTGTGTGCGCGCAGCTAGTGTTCGAATGCGAAAAATTGTTTGCTTAGAGAGCAGGAAGGAAAAACTGCAGTCAGCGCAGTGGAGAAGAGAGAGAAAGAGCATCAAGGCCATGCCACCAGCACATGAGAAGCGAAGCCTCACCCTAAGCTCACGACTAGCTGAGGGATTCGGCATTGTAAAGAGGCTCACTGGTAGTCGTATGTGAGGAACTGCCCCTTGCTGACTGCGCGCAGCGTGCACACGCCTATGCGCACCTCCCCATCCATCTGCCTGCTCGTGCACCACGATAGCAGCAGCAGCAGCAGTAGCAACAGAAGCAGAGAGAGAGAGAAATGGGCAAAAGAAACATGCAGGATGAAAGTTCATGGAAGAGCACCAAGGATCAGCTGGACTCGGAGCGCAGTTGGGGCCAGCAGTTGGGGTCAGCAGTTGGGGTCAGCAGTTGGGGTCAGCAGTTGGGGTCAGCAGTTGGGGCCAGCAGTTGGGGTCAGCAGTTGGGGTCAGCAGTTGGGGTCAGCAGTTGGGGCCAGCAGTTGGGGCCAGCAGTTGGGGCCAGCAGTTGGGGTCAGCAGTTACTCATAAGTTGCTCATCGGTTGCTCACCACTTCTGCAGTTCGCAGTTGGGGTTGCAGGAGTGGTTGATGAGGCGCGAGAGGTTGCCCTTGTAGCGCGCGTCTATGATCATGTCACTGCTCACCTGCGCTCCCATCCATGGCGCACACAGCATAAGCACGGGGCACAGGGAACAGGGCGCAGGGCAAGCGGCATATGGGAGAGGGCGCAGGGAGCAGTGGGAGGAACAGCAGGATGAAGCGAAACGACCTCGAGGGGCGAGATGGCATGGAAAGAATGGGGATAGCAGTGCTCCGTGCTTGATTGACGAGGCAATGAGGCGAAGCGCATGGAATCGCAGTGAAGCACACAGCAATGGGTGGCAGGGGTGGCAGGGGCGGCACGGACGGCAGGAGTGATAGGGGCGGCAGGAGTGGCAGGGGCGGCAGGGGCGGCAGGGGGTGGCAGGGGTAAACCTCGCAGAGGTAGAAGTCGGTCTCCCCGGCGGCCTTCATGTCCCACAGGCGCTGCTCGCACGTGGCGTCGTCTATCACTGCTCACCGCTCCGTGCAACATGGGGCAGGGGGGAGGAGGGGGGGAAGGAGGCGCATGGGTACAGGGGAAAGGGCGTATGGATACATGGGGGTGGGTGCACGAACAGGCCCAGGGAAAGGGGTGAGCAGTGCAGGAATGCAAGGGGAAGGGGTGAGGGGGTCACAGTTGAGCTGCCAGTCAGTGACGGATGCATCCATGTGAGTGACAATACATGGCTGCCCCGCACTCTCACCTTGCCCCACATACTCCATCACGTAGCATCCCGCAGGGAGGTCCTCGTTGGCCTTGAGGCCCCACCCGCACTTATCCGTCTGCGCACAGGGGGGGGTGCGGGATGTGAGCAGAGGACACGCATGGGGATAAGGGGGGATTCGCTTGATACGAAAACGGGAAAAGCAGGACATATGGAGGGGAAACGCGGGGATAAGCGGGAATAATGCGGGGGAGAAGAAGGGACGGTGAGCTGGGGGCAGGGGGGGGTGTGTGAGCAGAGAGGAGATGGACAGCCATGGGGCAAGCAACGGCGGAGTGGGCTATGCGGAGCAGCGAGCAGTGATGGTTCAGGGTTGCGGTGTGCTGAGACGGTTGAGGGGAGGCGGGGGGCCAGCGCGACGCACCCTGCAGAGCTTGACTTTGCGCGAGGGGCGGCGGTGGAAGGGCGCGTTCTGACACGACGACCCGCACCCGCAGTGCTTGCTGCAACTCACGTGCAGCATGCTGGGTTGGGTTGGGGGGTGAGGACACGTGCAGGGGGAAGGAGGGGGAAGGAGGGGGAAGGAGGGGGAAGGAGGGGGAAGGAGAGGGGAGGAGGGGAGAAGGGGAGGGGGAGGGAGGGTAGAGGATGAACGGGGAATGAGAGAGAAAGAGGAGAGCGTGAGAGTGTAAAGGGATGAGCGTGGGGAGTGGAGAGAGCAGACGGTGCGAGGAAGGAGAGCCGCAATCTCCTTGACAGGAGGTGCAGGACTGGCAATCACACACCGGCAGAGGCATGTCTCGCCACAGATGGACATATTCCTCCTCCTCCGCCTCCTCCCTGTCTTGGTCTTGTGCGTCGCCTGCGCATTCGCCTTCCCCTTGGCCGTGCTTCCTTGCTGGCTCATCTTCACCGCGCTCGCCTTCCTCTTGCCTCCCTGCCACTCCCCATCCTCCTCATCCTCCGCCGCCTCCTCCTCCTCCTCTTCCTCCGATTCTGAATCCTCTCCTTCCTCCCCCTCCTCCTCATCCTCCTCGTCGCTCTCCTCTGCTCCATCTCCCCCCTCCGAACCATCATCCGAGCTCCCATCATCACTCCCCTCCTCTTCCCCCTCCTCCTCATCCTCCTCCTCCTCTTCCGCCACCACCAGTCGCTTCCACCCCCGGCCCGTGATGCTCTCCCGCGCGCGGCCCCCCGCGCCCTTGTGGCATTCGCACTGCACCGACTCCGCCGCCGACGGCTTGGCGGGCCGCTTCACAAGATACTCGTCTGCGCGCCGGGGGGAAGGGGGTTGGGGGAGGAGGGTGGCGGGGAGGGTGGCGGGGAGGATGGCGGAGAGAGAGCGTGAATGTGGGAAGACATTGCGGAAGACCTGTAGAATGCACGGCTAAGGTTGGGATGTGCGGAGGGAGAGGGAGGGAACGGGTTGGCGCCTGTAGAATCGCTGCCACTGCGGCAGACTGGCGCTTCGCAGCGCGTCTCTGCTGCTAGCCGCCCAGCCGAGTCGCGAATCCCGTTAAGCGAATGCACGCTTTCATGCTCACACAGTAGATCTAGGCAGAAGGCGGCTTCCAGTCAAGCGAAGGACCTCGTAACCACTACACGAATTCATCGCGCAAAGCGCAATGGAAACGATGGCGAAATTAGGTCAGTACGCGGGTTCCAAAGCTTGCCACCACACATATCCCCAGACTATAAGTGACTTTCACTCAATCGCCCTATCCCATTCAATCAAAATGCGAGACATGGCGGGGGAAGAATGGAGGCATGGTCCGGCACAGCAGGAGGTTTCCAGACAACAAAAGGTATGAGTGGCCAGCCGAGCCAGACTCGCGTGCCCACAGGACGCAGCCACGCCACCCATGCCTCTCTCATGAACCCATAGGTGTTCCAGTGCCCGACGCCTTCTATTTTGAACTCGCGAATCGGCAAGGAGAACAACCACGGAATGTCGCGAAGGTACACCCTCCTCGACTGCTCACTGGACTGCATTGAACGGATTCAACGAACCTAGACAATTTCAGCGACTGCAGGAGCATGGCCTGCATTGTGGATCGAACGCACCTACCGGGAACTAGAGGCTTACTTCGTCGGATGGGTACGTAATCCGGAAGCGGAAATCCGGACCCTTGCTGTGGCACGATCGCTTCATCCCGCGCCATGACTCGCCGCGACGGGCGATCGAAAGTGTCCCGTTGTTATTGCCAGCTAATAACCCGACCACTCGCACTGACCATCTCCTTTCCTACCACGTCACACGCGAAGAAACCTATGTGACGTCCACCAGATGAAATGGTTGCTGGTCCTGACGGCATACTGATCAGGTGAGATTGCATCTCACCGTTTTAACACAAGGGTTTGGTCAGGCAGGCAGGCGAGGTGAGTGAGCGAGCAAGTGAGCGCGCAGCGAAGCACCTGGAAGAAATGGTGGAAACACTGCTCACGCTGGTGCAGGGAAACCTGCACCGCAGAGAGTGGCTTGTCAGCGATTGGATAACTGCCCAGGGAGAACAGAAAATCAGCAGTCCATTCCCGCCAGAACGCGTATATCCAGTAATAGCCGCTTCAAAGCAGATTTAACTTTGGTCAGTAAATTCCTGCTACTGGAACAATACCGAAACTTGTACAAAAAACATTTGTATCTGGAGTGCTTCTGATCAACAGGCCCTTTTACAATATACATTTACCAAGCATGTGCAGAAAACTCAATCAAACTAAATGGATACCCCAGCTAGAGTGTGCATTGCTATTGGGTTTCGCCAGGCTCACATCCCAAGTGGACTCCGTTTCAGAGCTTTCCCCCTCCCACCATTTGCACCCACTCCAGTGCGAGCATTTCCTTCCTTCTCCAACCCGCCTGCCTCTTTTAGCCTATCCTCTTCTCCACCACCCCTACCCCTATCATTGCCCATGTTGCACTTCACACTCTCCCTCTTCCTTGCTGGGCTGGTGCCTTGCAAACAGCAGCGGGGGGAACAGGGGCCAACTGGGGATGAGGGATGCGAGACATGCAGGGCAACAGTGGGTGAGAGGACCAGAGGGGAGTGGAGCGGGGAAAGCGAATCCGGAAGAAAAGAAAAGGTGGGGCTGCAGCGGGGGACACAGGGGGGGAAGGAAGTGCGGCAGGAGCGCAGACGTGGAGAAGTGGCGGCGCAACGGGGGGAAGAAGGGCTTCTGAGCCCCATGCCGTGCGCAGCTTCCCCTGCAAGCAGCTGCTTTTGCGTGGGACTGAGGCCCGGTGACAGCACTCTGAGGCCTGGGGATCTGCGGGCACGTGGAGGCTTCCTGAAGAGGCGAGAGAAGGCGCGTGGGGAGGGGATTTGGAGGGAGAGAGAGAGATGAACGTGCACAGAGTCACATGGCTTGAGGCGGGACGGGGTTCTGCTCTGAAGAGGAGACTGCCGAGGTAAAGGCTGTGCGGGCCGTGAGGACTGCGAGGGATGTGCAGAAGAGGAGCAGTCATGCGCCTTCGGGCTGTCTGGAGAAATTACATTGTCGTCTGTTTTCTCGGCCTTGTTGCATTCACTCCCTGCCGTTGTACCACACGGTTCTTCATAATCACTTGCTTTTCCTTCACTCTCCTCCTCATTCTCTCTCACATCCCCAGTCTTCATGTCGTGTTCCTGCCGTGGGGTTTCAGTGCCTGGCACACCTTGCTGGCATCCTCTGTCAGCGCTGCCCTCCTTGGTTATGGGCTCTGCACGCTGTGGAACGGGTTTCACGAGAAGCTGCTGCTCCTGTTGCTCCTGCTGCTGCTGTTGTTGCTGCAGCTGCTGCTGTTTCTGCTGCTGCTGCAGCTGTTGCTGCTGGTGCTGCATGTACATGTGCTGCTGCTGTAACATAGACCAGTTGAAAACCCCATTGCCTGGGACAGGAAGCGATCCAGGGAATGGACCCAATGGGTGTGCCACACCATTGAAAGGCGTGCTACTGGCGCACTTGCTGCTGGCTGCGCTACTGCTTCTGGTGTTGGTGGAGGAGGAAGGGAAGAAGCCATGGGAGAGAGCGAAACCAGGCATCCACACAGCCTCATGCCAGAAGAACGGAGGCGATAGGCGCGGGTATGCGTCTATAGAATATGATGGCTGTTGCTGATTGGTTGGTACATGTCGTACTGTTTGCTGGTGGGGCACCGAGGGAGTGGCTGACGTGGAGCTATAGTCAGAGGAGGGGCGGTGCAGGTGCAAGGAAGATGGCATGCTGCCACTCCCTGGGAACTTGCTGCAGTCACCCATTGACTGGCAATCAGCTCTGCCTGGTGCACCCTCCGCCAAGCTGCTCCACTTGGATGGCTGAGAAACGTGAGTAGAGGAATCGGATGGGTCGATGGACATGGCCTGCATGGCCTGCAAGCATTCCTCTACTGCGTCCCCACCGGCATCACCATTCATGCGGTCTGGTACACCCGCGTCCCCACTGCCGTTAACTCCCATGTTACCCCTCGTTCCGTTGCCTGCAGGCCATCTGCTCGTGGGCCAGGAATGAGCCGCCACTGGATTCGCCTGGAAAACAGCTGGGAACGGTGCAGGCACAGGCGATGCTTGCATGGTGCAACCAGCAGGCGGTGTGGAGGTCATGGGTGGCAGTGCAGCCATCGGAAGCTGAAGCGACATGGGCATGGGCATAGTGGGAATAGACCTCATAGATCCCATGGACCCCATAGGCCCCATGTGCCACGGGCCCACCATGTCACGTCTCATGGGCCAGAAGCCGTGGCCTCCTCCTGGCATCCCTGCTGCACTGGCAGCGTTCACAGCACTCGCAGCACTCGCAGCCTGAGCCACAGCCGCAGCCACAGCCCCTATGGGAGCGCTGCGGAGCGGTGAAGAGGGGTGATGGCAGAGCGCCCAGGCAGCAGCATCCATGCTGGTTGGAAGCCTGTGAGAGTACGCACGAGTGGGGGAGTGCTTCGGCGTGTACACTGCTGGCTGCCGCTGCTGTTGCTGCTGCTGATGTTGAGTATGGTGCTGGCTGCCGTCTCTAGCGAAGAACCGAGGCCCATGAGCTCCCTGTAGTACACCTCGCCCATGCTGTGGTTCCCAAGCTGATCCTCCCATGCTTGCCTCGTGTCCATGATTCGAGTGGCTTTGCCCCGGAGACCGGATCCTTGAGTTGGACACTAGAAGCAGCGTCCGCGACTTCCGGCCTTTCTTCTTCCTGCGACGCCTCTTCTTCTCCTCTGCAGCGTGTGGCGCGCTCGTCAAGGACCCATCGTCCCACCGCTCGTCTTTTCGCAGCAGCCGTAACTCGCCATTTGCACGGTCGCTCAAGAAGCACCCGCCGTCTTGAGTGTCGCAGTGAGGGTCGCCACCTTGATCGGACGACGGACACTCGCCCTCTTCATACTGGGTTGACGGATCTGGCGATTCCACTATTGTTTTCGAGATTCGCACCTCGGAATAAGGAATCGAATTCAAACCCTCGTGATCCGCGGTGAGGTCCTCAGACACTATGCACAGGCTGTCTTGATCCAAGGAATTTGTTGCTTGCAGTCCTGGACGCCTTTTCGAAAGCGAAGCAGCACTTTTAGCGTCATTGCAACGAGTGTCAAGCGGCGAATAGAGAAGACTGTCAAACTCATGATCAGGTTTCTTTTCCTCGTCAGGAGGAACTGAGTGGACGGGACGAAGTGCTGGTTCGTCGGTCAGCGTGAAGCAGGCAGAGTCGGTCAAGACCTGCGGACTTGAACTTGATTGCGAGAGAGTTACAGTGTGACCCATGAGAATAAGGTAAGAAGAGGGTTTGATAAGATCGCGCAATGAAACGGCGCTTAGTCCGTCTGGGATGCATTGGCCGAGCTAATGAGCTTATATGCGACCAGGGTGAAGGAGCCATGGCTGTGGTGTGAACGTTCAACAGAAAGGCTTGTCAGCTGAAATGTGTTGCCTATGACCTCTTGGGAATGCAGAGGATGGCGAAATGCGACGGACGACATTCCTTTGCGACGCGGAATCGATCGTCCTCGATTGAGAATTTAGCACGTGGCAGGAACTTCAATTTCTCAACAGCACTTTCTCGTGGCTTGACGAGGTGTCTTCGGCTTTTCGCCCACTTGGTTCACCACCGAAACGTCTTCGCCACACGAAGCGAAGCAAGAACATTGCGAGCTGAACGACGTTGGCGAAAACTGAAGGTTGGGTGGAATAGATTTGTAAAGCGATTCAAGCAATAAACGGATCAGTGGAATTCCCGTCCCCAAAAGACCAACAAACTCCACCAGATTGTGAATCCCAGCTCCATTTCGTGAATCTGTTAGTGCTGTTGTCTGGAAGGTGATCTGCTGGAACATGATGGTGAGTTATACGTTTGGGGCTCAATCGATGTCTAGATTTCCCTGACAGCAATTCAATTCTATGCAACCTTATTACAGTCTGACATGGAGATGGCCGGCGAACGCGATAACCATGAGGAACTTGGCCGAAAGCCCATTCTCCAGCACGACCCTGGCCATGACGAGAACGGTGGATTACACACAATGGTCGAAGGCGCTGTTCGACTGGTCACAATGCTTAATTTCATGAAGGTTTGCGGCTGAGGATTTTTAACTGTGGAGCATTGGAAACCACTCAGTCCCAGATTTTAACCTAAAGGCGGCTTACAGGTTGAGCTTGGCGAGTACAAGTCCTTAAAGTCCAAAGAACAATGGCGTTCCATCGGCGTTGAGTTTCTCGCCACCCTTCTTTTCGTTTATTTGGGTTGTGGCTCTGTCGTAGCATCAGGTGAATGTTCTTCTACGCTCGTCTAAGCTGTACCACACACTTCAAGTCATCCAAGCCGGCGTGTATTCTCAGGGGTCCTTGAGACGGAGCTGTCATCTGCAAGGCTCACTGTGATCGCGCTGGGTCATGGTTTGGCTATAACCTTTCTCGTGGCAAGCACCGGTGCAATCTCTGGAGGCCATATCAACCCAGTAGTTACCCTTGCCTTCGTAGTTGCTGGAAAGGAGAACATCATAAGGGGCTCTCTATACATCGTTGCTCAGGTGCAACATTCTGCAGCCCCTATTGTTCACGAGCAAGTTAGCAGCATCCATAACTGACATATTGTTGTCATCTGCAGTTGGTTGGGGGAATCTGCGGAGCTGCCTTGTTGGGGGCGTCCATCCCTGCAGCAGATTTAGGTCACTTGGGCAGTCACAGTCTTGGCCACGGAACTTCCGTTGGCAATGCTTTTCTGATGGAACTGATGCTAACCTTTACTCTGGTATATGTTATCTTTGGTGTCGCTGTGGACCGAAGAGGACCAGGCAAGTACCGTATCCTGATTCTTACATGCGGTGCCGTTTGCCACGTCACACCTGATGTCTGCTTGCTTGTCCAACAGGTGTTATAGCACCTATACCGATAGGTCTAGTGGTGGTAGTCGATCACTTGGTGGGAGTACCATTTACAGGTGCATCCATGAATCCTGCCAGAAGCTTTGGGCCAGCTGTTGTATCAGGAATCTGGCCACAAGAACACTGGGTGTACTGGGTTGCACCCAGCCTGGGATCAGCACTAGCAGCTGTCATTTACAGGTATACTGTTTTGACATTACTTTCCATGAGATCAGAAACTAACCTGTATACCATTCAATGCAGGTACATAATAATGGGAACAACCTACAAACCACCAGAAGCAGCAGCAATGGTTATGCCCGGAAGGAAGTCCATGTCTGCGGCAATCTGATCTGGATGCATTATTCTTATTCGGTGATCTTGGGATGACATGCTATGCTGTGATGTTCGAGTATACCCTGAAATATTGAAACCTGCAATGCCATGTCAAATCAAAAACAGGGGAAAAGGGAAGTGGCTTAAAGCTGCGGTCTACATACTAAGTGGTGTTTTTTGGGTGTATTTTTATGCCAACCCTTTCGTGCGGCCTGATTGGAGAACGAAGTCAGCATGTTTCAGAAACACCGCAGCAGACGAACTCAGACAGGAAACTCGAATCCAGCCCAATTTCGTTCTGACGGGTGGTTTGGAGGAGGGTCTGCGGAAGGGCGGGAAACAACCTGGGGAGTTTGGTTTCGTGCGGAAAGAACCCCAACCCCCTCTCTCCACCCCTCTCAACCGTTAACTTTGCAGGAAAGGGGGCCGAGTCCAAAAACTGGTCACCCTGTTTTCAAGTGATAATCTCAGCCCTCCCGCTCGGAGTATGTAGGCCGCAGCTTTAAGGTTTTTGAAGATGAAGAAGATGCACACATGATAAAATCAGACCGGACTGGAATAATCACAGTAACAAAGGGGCCAGTCGAAGGGACTGAGCAGGAGTACAAGCACCATGTGTAGAGTTGGCAACAAGAACACATCAGATTGCCAACCTTCTCCTAACATCATGTGCCCATCTCGCAGAGTTTCATCTCAAATTTGACAGATACCTCAGCATAACGATGCTGTCTTGACAGAGTTATTGAGCAATGAATCCAATTCTTACCTCCTATCCGTTTACTGCTTCTTTGGAGACTTTTTTTTTTGCCTCTGTTTGCCGTTTCTGCAAAAAAATGGACAGGCACCCAAAAGTAGCACAAATGAACAGCAACCAGCATTGCACTTATGTTCAGACACATTTCTCTCATACCTTCATTTGCTCAAGCAATTCGGGACATTTGGCCATATTCTCTGCAATTTTTTCTTGCCTGCATACCAAGACATAGAGGAGTATTATGGTGATTGAGCCAGAACAGAGATCACCAAGCGCAAACTTGGCAGCAACCTGGGGTGCGAAAGTGGGCTGAACGTGGGCTTCTTCCATAGCAAACCAACACTCTAAATTTAAAGAATCGCAGGCTAACCTCACTGCAGCCTCCTTATCGTGCTTGTGACCCTTTATCTTGGTCTTCATCTCCTTCCGAGGAGCGTCATAAGGCCACTCCCTGCCACTCCAACACACGCATGCAGACAAAACGTTCAGGCACACATTTCTTCCCCCCCCTCCCCCCCCAACACATGCAGACAGACATATCATGAAAATCGGCACGCCCTCTCAAGCCCCCCTTTCCACACCGCTCCAGCTACAAATACCACAGAGCCCCTCCCACAAGAAGGACAACACACATGCACGCATCTCACACCATCACACGAACACAGACGAGATGGGACTCAAGCAATGAGAGAATGACGAGGCAGCAGGAAGTGGCGAATCTCAGAAAATCCGGCCTCGATATCTCTAGAAAGCGCGATTAGGCGTTACCTCGACGATCGAAGCCGAACAAAAACGAGAACAATGGCGTCCGTTCATCAAGGAACGCGCCAACATAACAGCTGCTCCCACCGCGGTCGCACGACAGGAAGCCATTGCAAGATACGAGTGACGCTAAATCATAATCTACGACCTAGGTAAATCACAGCTCAAACGGTTTCTGATCTGTTGTACTTTTGTTCCGACCGAGATAGCCTAGAAGAACTCACTCGCCAGACAGTAAAGTCTCTCGTCGCAACCGTGCGCGGTTCTTCGCGGAAAATTGCTGCACCGCGCCACTTCCCATTAACGAATGACGGTCGTAATCGCTGAGCTAACTCAGCAACTGCCTTCACTACTTGTTGGCCGGCTCCTGTGGACGCCATTGCTACTTTGTGTGCTTCAAATGATTGTCCCTGCAAACTCAGCCGTTTTAACGGATTTCTCCCCATTGTGCG